CAAGGACGGACAGGAGAAGGAGACTGTCAATGTAGTTGAAGATTGAACGATCAATTCATGGTTGTTTGCTCAAACCCAAATTCCATATATTTTCGCGGAGACATCGATATACCAGTCATCGTCTCATCGGTCGCTGTTCAGAAGGAAGTCAGGCCAAAAATGTCAGAAGTAATATTGTGATTTATTATTGTAATATTTGTTCATAGACCTTAGTTAAAGCTCAATTTTAAAGTTGGCTATACATTGGTGTTACAATAAAGAATTCTCGAGTAGCCAATCGGTGTTTTGGTTTTGCGTCCGTTATTACTAACCGTTTCTGAGAAACTTCAAGGAACAGCGTGGGTCCCAGCGCAGCAAAAGCTGGGCATTGACGGTTTACGAGACGTGGCTGACAGAGACGCTGAGCTCAACTTACAAAGCAATGGACAAAGAAGTGAAGAAGAGTGCTAGGAAGGACAAAAGACGATTCTACGACAACCTCGCCACTGAAGATGAGAAGGCAGCAGGCAAAAGGGACCTGAGGACATTATATCAGATAACCAAATTTCTATCCGAGAAGAGATCAACACAAGCGAAGCCCATAAAAGACAGCCAAGGGAATCCAATTACCAAGGAAGAAAAACTGATTAAACAATGGGCGGATCACTTCAAAGGACTCTGGAACCGCCCATCACCTGCAACCCGTCCAGAAATACCAACAACAGTACGTACACAACTGCTAGTTGACACCAATCCTCCAGCGACAGCTGAAGTCTTCAATGCAATCAAGCTTCTGAAAGCTGGAAAAGCAGCTGGACCAGATGGAATACCCCCTGAAGCACTGAAAGCGCACCCAGAGACGACAGCAGACATGCTGACTCCATTATTGCAGAAGGTCTGGAAGGAGGGAAAGGTGCCTACTGACTGGAGGAAAGGTTACCTCGTGAAACTATCAAATAAGGGCGACTCACGCCTCACTCTGCAAGAACTGGCGAGGAATAATGCTCCTATCGACGCCAAGTAAAATCCTGAGTCGCATCACCCGGGAGAGATTAAAGGACGCACTAGATACAGAACTCCGACCAGAACAAGCTGGCTGGATTCAGGAAAGGCAAATCATGTACTGACCAAATTGCAACTCTACGCATCATCACAGAACAAAGCGTGGACTGGCGATCAAACCTCTACCTCAACTTTATAGACTTTGAGAAGGCCTTCGATAGCGTTGATGGTGAAGTAATTTGGAAATTACTCGAGTACTACGGCGTACAGTGCCCCAAATATTCATCAACCTTATTCAACAGCTGTACGACAACGCCACATGTCAAGACATCCACAACAGAAAACTCAGCGTGGTGTTTGGAGTAAACACAGGAGTCAGACAAGGGTGCTTATTATCACCGATGAATGATATTCCTAATTGTGGTGGACCGGATTATGCGTCAGATAGTGAGTGGGAAACGAGAAGACAGGAATATCCTGGACCGACGTGAAGAACCTAGAAGACCTGGATTTCGCGCGTGGATGATTTATGTTTGATGTCACACACAATCGAAGACTTACAAGCGAAAACCGACAAACTGGTCGAAGAAGCAGCAAAGACAGGACTCCAGGTAAACATAGACAAGATGGAGGTGATGAAAATAACCAACCAACAGGAGCAACAACATCCAACGCCAATCACCATCAACGGGAGGGATTTGAAAGAGGTTACTTCATTCACTTATATAGGGAGCATTGTCTCAACTACAGGAGGAGCGGACGAGGATGTCAAATCGAGCGAGAATCGGGAAGGCAGGCGAGAAACACATTCATCAACCTGAAATCAATCTGGAAATCTTCGTCACTCCGCAGAGATGGATTGGTCACTCGCTGAGGAGACCGCTGGGTGACATCGTGCGTCAAGCCCTCGAGTGGAACCTGAAAGGGAAGCGGCGTGTGGGACGTCCAAGGGTGACATGAAGGAGATCGTGTGAAGAGGAGTTGAAAGAATATGGTCTTACATGGATGCAGGCGAAAAGCATAGCAGAATACAGAAGAAAATGGAGACGTGCAGTTGAAGCCCTATGTTCCACTAGGAACCCAAGGGAGCAATAATAATAATAAAATAATATGGCACAGCCCTTTTCTGAAGTAAGGCCACCTTTATCCGGTGGGTATTAGGGAGTTTCAGTAAATAGGCTAAATATGCTCGCATGATTTCACCAATACCCAAAAATATACGCTTAACTTCTGAATTTTCTACCATCTTTTAATCCATCACACCGAGCAGATATGAGCGTCAAGCGGCGATTTCATATAAAAGTGTGGCGAACGTAACCCAGTTCATGAATATAATGCCATCGATAGTGAGTACTTCAGAAAGGGATTTTTAATGCGGACATTTCATTTAAAAATCACAGAAAGTGTAACTTTTAATTGGACCAACACAGCAATGAACCACGACGATACAGTTAGAAGGGTTATGAAGTAAAGCCACTCGAATGACTTCCATCCAGTTGATCACTGAAATAGAAGTTACTGGATAGCACCAAAAGTAAGCAAATAGTTCGTTTGAAGATGGCAGAATTATGGTAACAAAAATTAATACTTTCCATTTCACTGCACCACATATTAATCTTTTCCCTAGTTCCCTTGGCAGTAGCTATCCTTTCGTGCCCCCTCACAGCACCAAAACACTTGATACTATAATTATGTGCTGGTGTTACCGAAGAAACTTTTTCACTGATGTCACTTGAGCTGGTGCCGTACTTTTCCAGTCCTCCACCACAAATTAAAGCAGTTTCTGTGTGAATACTCGGAATGATCTCATTTCACCCAAATCGTTTGACGCTCACATCAAACATCTTCGAAGTCCATAAGAAAATCGAAGTTGGAAACAGAGGATTGGTCATTATGAGGTTCGAAAGAGTGTAATCTGCACTAGCATGCGCAAGGAAGCTGTAGAGTATTCATCTCAATGTGTTAGTGTGATAGAAAAAAGACTTGAGTGATGTAAATAACCTAACTTTTAACAGTTGGTGTCTTTAGTGATCACGCTGTCGTAAGATTTTAGTGAACGACTTGCCTGTTCGCTGAATACTTCATCAAAACATGGTAGCAATACAGGAAGTTCTAGATCACTCCAGTGATAACAGCGGCCGGCATCTCATCCGAGCACGAAGATTCGCTTTTTTAAGCTTATATAGGTGTCCTCAAATCAAGAAAATTATGTATCCACTCTTTTATTAAAACAGTAATACGCACTACAGAGATAAATGTGGGAAGGAACTCATGATCCGGTGAAAATATTGAGGGCTAAATGATCATTCAGAAATCGCGAAATCGCTGGATGAATATACCACGTGACCTCCCCGTTTATTTCTGCAGACAACTATGTTTTTGAGGTTACTGAACAGATTTCACGCACGAAGTACAACGTTCCTCTTATTTAGTCAATGAATTTTCGGGTCATTTTTCAGGGTATGACAGTTCCACTTCGGCTACACGAAGAATAAATATTCGTTCACATTCGCGTTTATGATTTCACTCGACGGCATCCTAGGTGCATGCCTAATATGAAGAAGATTCCATCTGATTTTTTGAAGAAGTGGGGGCAAGATACATACTTCTTTAAATTTACGCGAGTGGAATATGGGGCTCAGTAGCGCATTTCCACTGTACTCTTTCGTCCACTTTCTTCTGTAACTGACTTCCTGACTGCCCGCAGGCTTTCGCCAATCCCACAAACGATGCTTTCCATGTCACACTCGCATGATCAATTCACTGTTCCCCCTTTCACTTTACAGTTAGGGGCCTAGAGGGTGATATACCTCAGTGATCTTCCCAAGAATGCCCAGTCCCTCTTCATTCCCTTCTGTGCATTTATTGGGCAACAAGTACTTGGTCGATTCACTGTCAGAGGTAGTTGTTGCCTATCCCACCCGGCCGGCTTACCAATCTTCGGTACCGAGCAAAGATGGATGCTGATCAAAGTCTGCAACATATTGGGAATGCTTTCGGTGGCGCGTGAGCTAGGACTCAAAACATACAGAAATACTGACTGACTGCATAGCAGTGTTGAAAATTCTGGTTCTGTCCTTTGTGCCATGTGAAATAGATCTCCATGACAATTTGAGAGTAATCGATGCATGTGTTGACTTTTCTGTCTAATCCTAACTGGCTTTGACATCCTCGTCTGTGCTGCCTTTATTGAAAACGCTGCTGACCGCCTAAGTAAGTAAGAGAGATGAATTCCCTTAGTTTTGTCCTGTTGGTGGTGGTTGATGTTTGTTATTATGACTGCACATCCGCATCATCTCTGTCTATTCTTTGTTCGTCTAAAGTCCTGTCTTCTCTGCTGTTTAAAACCGATGAATTAATAAGATGTTAGAATTCAATTAACGGAACACTGGAAGTATAAAAATTGAGCACTGTGGTAAAGCACAACTCCATTATGGATAAGATTTTATTTTGATAAATCACACAGTGTTCTGCAGTGATACTAACTGATGACGTTTCGAGCACACATTATTGCTCATAATCATATCTTATCCATAATGAAACCACTAAAGCATACTAATAAATATGTAAATGAAATTAAGTTTCTGATGGGATTAAAAAAACGAAGAATTTTTAAAGTTTATGGTATTTTACAAATAAAATACCATAAGTATAAAAATTATGAGCTGATTAGGATGAATTAGCAGTGAAATATGGTGTCTAACTGGGTCCGTAATAATTTGGGCCCGAGAAAAAAACACTGCTACGCTTGGAAACGCCCTCCACCTAGAGTCTGGCTACACCATTCGGAGCCAAATCAACCATTTAAGTAGTATTCACCCCTACAAATTCTAAGTAAACGGATTCATTAATATCAGAGAAAAGAGTTTAACAACGGATTGGACGAAGCGGTTAAAACATCTAAACACAGGGGAAACTATGCGTGTGGTTACATGACATACGCCCTCTGAGAAACAAATATTGTCGATGCAGAGCTTTTGATTCCAGAATAAACAAGTATTGAAACATTGAAATACTTATGGATGATCACATGCATTAAATAATGAATACTTATTTATGTATGTCTTTCTTATCTTTCAAATTTTTTTTTGTTGCAGGAAAAGAAAGGAAAACGGTTTCTTGATAATTTTGGTTCAGCCTGTGTTTAATCTATTCCTGCGTCTTTGCACGTGGGAAATTTGTCCGCGCGGAATATGTCGAATAATCCACAAGTTTGTTTTACACGTTTTATATTGAATGTTTTCATCATTCATCTGTTTCATAAAGTCTAGTATGAGCTGGCTTTGTTATACAATATGGTGCCTACCACTTCATTCCAGTGGGATATCTTTGAATGCGTTGTTTTGCCGATAAATTAAAAAAATGACTTACTGATTTCGAAACATAAAAATCTTTTTAGATATTATTCCCCTGTGGATCTTCTTTAATATCAATTTTTTCTCTAAAGTCCAAGATTGTGTTGGGGCTTTCTCTTGACTGTAGTATAAAAGGTAAAGTATGGTCTGTGTATTGGCGAAATCACTAAAATATTATGGTAATTGTGTAATGAAACGAGGATTCATTTCTTTGGTATTGGACTCACTGTTGTTTTCTCACTTTCCGAGATACTTTTTTCCGCTATTATGAAAAGGTGTTTAATCTTTGGTCACCTTCAACTAGAAATTTCGTAGAATTCGTGCATGAATATGCATATTGGTAATTTAGGTGGTCACCTGAAATTGTTTGCGAAGTTGAATAGTATCAATCCCATCTATGAGTGACTTCAAGAGGGAGTTGCTTCTCCACAGAAAAACGTCGCGGCGATAATTAACCTAAAGCTGCTTTTTATCCTTAATCGCCGAAGACCTGTAATCCATTCACTCATAGATTTTAAACCTAACTGTATCAGCTTGTCTGTATTGTCATAGATGTAATGAGAAGGTTAGAATGGTCAGCCTAGAAGTCATTATTTGTGTCAGTACTAGACGTCTTTAGATGTTGGTGAGGTTAAAACTTTTAATCATATTCTCATGGAGATGCAAAGTTCCTTTTACAGGTTTAGTGCTTTCTGTTTTTACGCGTTACAGAATATTTGTCTCTTGCAGGCACACCACAGTGTTCCACTGTTTTCGAATTCCTGTTTTTGCTTAACTAGCTGATACTGATCTATCCAAAGAATAGGATCGACTAAAGTCGCAATTCAATGTGTAATACTGCACTTCTATTGTAGTCGATTTCCAGGCTTTAGTGTTAATACTATTCACTTAATTCATTCAGATCAGTCTGAGGTGCTAAGTATTTTTTAATCAAATAACTGTCTACACTGGAATAGTCTTTAAATGGCGGTCATGGTCTAATCACTCGATAGCTCTTTACTATACATTAGGACAAAAGTAGTCCTAATATCGCTTATAGAGGCAAGTGTTCGTCCTAAAGACATTGTCCTCTTTCACAATCTCTCCTTTATGTTGGTGGTGCACTTCATTCTTGTTTTGATTTCTACATAGAAACCTATTTGCTTTCGTATTAAACATGATTGAAACAGTTCATTAAACGCCTTATTAGGATCATATATCATTTCCAACTTACGTGTTAAAATAGATTCTGCCCCACTGACGTATAAAATGCTTATCGACTCATTACTTTCCTAATTCCTGAATCAGTTTTGAACTGCAGGGCTTAGCTGCGTATGTTCAAATCAAGTTCACTTTTAACATTTTGGAGAAATTTGAGCATTGGGTATATGACATCCACAGCCATAAAAGTTTTTGTATTTCCCAATGAAAAATAAAACAACTATTTTTACTGATATTTCGCTGTTTTATGCTAATAGCTTTTTCAAAGTATTATGAAAAGATTTACGAAATGTCAGATTATACATAACTTAATCATCGTTCATCAGCATGGGGTCATTTTTACTTTGTATGTAGTAATGTACACTTAGTCAATGAATTTTCATTTGCCATTAGAGAAACTGTACGTCGGTGGCATAGCGGTTAGGACACCCGTCGACTATGTACATGGTCCGGGGTTCGATTCTCGGCCGGCGCACTCCTTTACCTCGCTAAGCCAGAAATAATGCTGGTAAAGAGGAAAGGCTGGGCATAAGGCTAGCAACCCCATCCTGTAAGAATTAACCACTGCTACAGAAACTTCAAGGCACTAGCTTGAAGCCCTATGTTCCACTGGGAATGTGAAGGAAACAAAATTTGAGAAACTATGTAACATTATTTGTCATTCTTTTCTGTCTAACACTTGTCATTAGAGTTAATCGTTTCCTTTCCTATTGTTGAGACTTAGGACAGACTAAGCCTGTATTTGATAGGCGTAAAGAGAAAACAGAAAGTTTGGGACGTGGTGAATACACTCCTCACTAAGCTTACATCTCGACTGCTCCTCTCAGTTGTTTATGATCCAAAATTGAACCAGTGATAACTGTGAACCTTGTTATATTAATTGAAATGTTTGTCCCTCAGTCATCACATGAAAAGAAGGATACTTAGAAATCTAGACTAGTGTGCTTTGTATTCCCGTGCATTTGGAAATACCCTAGTCTAGTGGGTGCTTCTTTATAATCTCTTCACAGTTTCTGGATCTCACAGGAGATTCTTTAGTTGGATTGGAGTGTTTAGATGGCATTTCACTTGGACAAGAATGATAAGATGTGCAACCACCCTAATTATCTAAAAATCACTTAGAAATATCAGTACTCTCGTGTATCGATAACTGTTGGTTGTAGGGAGTGAACTGATTGAGGAGATCGTTTTTATCCCTAAAAGTTTGTAATTAAGAAGATCTAGAACCAGCTAAACGTAATCCTTTTGGCTATCACTAAATTGCATCACTTATGGTTTAGTTAAAATGATCGATTATCTGTTGCAAGTCCAAAGTACTGCGTAGCAACACGACCACTAAAAGTTGGTCTGCTAAGGCTCTAAGCGTTTGCGAACGTTTTTGGAATAGTATTTTGCGCGTTAAATGAGAACTATTAACAGTGGAGGTTTCTTTCGGCCCTAGTGAAGATTAGGAATCCAGTAGAAGTCATAAATCTAAGACATGTGGTTGAGTGTTGTGTCGCGTCTACCTGTCTCAACTGTTCATGTTGGTTAAATTACGATTTCATTTGTCGAAAGATAAGGATGATCAAAACAAAATATTGCAGCAATCCATCAAATCTTTAGCTGTTAGAACTGTGTGGAGTGATGTAAGTATCTTGCCTAAGATCAATGTGTCTACCGGACTCTATTGTCAGAAAGTAAACAGTAAAGCTCAATTCATTGGGGCGGTGTAAGTGCATGCGTTGGAGATGTAGTTCACTGGGTTTCGCACTTTATTTTCATCTACTGAGCGACACTATTTTAATCCTGATGGCTTGATAGTATTATTAACCCTTGTTGAGATTTGGTTGAATTTATCCTTAGCTAAAGGAGCTTCAAAAACAAAGAATTTGATAAAGTGATTGATAGCCGCGGTGTTAGAAGACTGAATTGCTCAATGGAGTCAGAAATACAAGGTCTGGACATAATACAAGACCAAAATTTACTGTTTTCTAGGAATATTTCCCATATGTAGAGGTTATTCAATGAGTTTTCTGGTGGAAAATATTAATCATGAAGCTTGCTCTCATATATGCCAATTAGTTGACACTACCCTACTCAATACTTGATTTATGTACGGGTATTTTTATCCTCTTACACATGTCTTTGATACCTCAGTTTGCAAAAATGTAGTACTTATCGTGTAGAAGGAAACAATCATACTAAATATTTATTGTCTGGATAGTTTAGACTTACTGCCATCACATCTTTTAAAAACGATGGAAAAGTTACTTTTACTTGTGCTTAAACATTACTTGAAACCTTTTATCAATCTCGAACAATTCTCTTTTGAATACAGAAGGATTTATGACACCTGCTGTGGAACCACTGTGTCTAGTCTAGGCAAGAACAAATAAAATCTTTGTACTTTTAGAGTGTACCGTTACTTTTGTTTCTGAGAAAAACTTATATTACGTAGGGCTTCAAAAGCTGTAAATGGACATAGTGATTCGTCTTTGATTCCAGTTATCTAAGGCTATCTTTTCGGATATTAAATATCATAACTATTCACAAATTCCTCCTTATGTTTCTTTAGGATTACAAGAAGAAACTTCATGAGACTATGCTCACACATCTAAATACAAAACCTCAACTGTACCCTATTTAGCATGGATCTTGTATGAGGAAAGGAAAGAAAAAAAGTGATGAACATACTTTTTAAGCAGTAAATAAGCAGTTATTTAGTTCTTGCACTCACCCATATTGGTTACCTTGATAGTTTTATTGTAATTGTTCGGTACATGTGGTTTCGTTTGTTTGAGGAGTAAATTTATCGCAGTACGGGAACGTTACAAACTTAACTCAGTACTAAAGGTATTGTTTGGAATGAAGAATATTTTTCACAAATGTGTCTGCCTGTTTCATTCAGGCTTTGATGATATAATGGGAACTTGTAGGATATCCACAAGTCCTCTCTGTATGCTGTTGAAAGACTGGGTGACTATTATTCAACTGTTGTTAACAGCTTGGAAGTCGATGTCTTCAAATTTTTTTCCTTCACGTTCCCAGTGGAACATAGGGCTTCAAGCTAGTGCCTTGAAGTTTCTGTAGCAGTGGTTAATTCTTACAGGATGGGGTTGCTAGCCTTATGCCCAGCCTTTCCTCTTTACCAGCATTATTTCTGGCTTAGCGAGGTAAAGGAGTGCGCCGGCCGAGAATCGAATCCCGGACCGTGAGTATGGTCGGCGAGCGTCCTAACCGCTATGCCACCGACGCACACCTAAAAATACGTGTCATTAAAAGAGAATTAGCTCTACTTAAATACAGAGCTTAATGTGTGCTTGTTGCGGACTGCTTACACACAACCTGTTGTATTGTCTTTTAGGGTATTGCCTCTGGATGAAAAGAGTGTTGGAGCGTACGGTTTTCGGGATCGATATTTTTTTATACTTTTGCTCTATGGAGTTAAAGGGCAGTACATGTAGATTTATGGCCATCAGTAATGTAAATTCTTCCTCACACTTCTGTAGTGTAAGCTAGTTTCAGTATGAGTATTTGTCGTTTAGTCTCACACATGGTGGTTTAACGTAGTATTATACTATCGTAGTCTTAAGAATTGCAGCAACTTCGACCAATGTACTTTTATCTGCAAGCATTTATGTGAAGCCAGGTGATTGTTAAGCCACTCCTCATATGCTGAAACATACTATACACCTAGAACTATCATGTGGTCTTCGACAGTGTATTTAGCCAGTACAGGACTAATAACAAGTTATTTTTAAAACTAGTTTCCTTTTAAGGTGAGTAGAATTTGATCCCTACTTGCTGGTTCACACTGATACATATTTTCTCCATCCCCACCATCATTGGCTTTGTCATCAGCTGCTGACTGTGATACTGTTTCGGTTCAAATTTAGTTTGTTTCAGAGATAGGTGATATAGATAAATCCTCAAAAAGAAAATCATGTCAGTTGATTGGTCTAAATCTGCCTCAGTCTTTTTTCACGCACACTGAAATCACTGGCTAATATGACTGCATATAAGCGTTTTGGTTTTTTATCCGGACTTTAACTTTTTCAGTGTGTGTGTGTGTGTAATTAAAAGCTTCAAAAATCCATCGACGAGTAGAACTTTTTCCTTATTCTTGCATATACACCTATCTGAGCAACACATATAATTGCCAATTTGGGTTCAAAGGAGTAGTTCAGTGCTATCTCTATAAGAACTAGCTATTGTAACATAATGAAACTGGCTAGTGAAACAGATGAAATCAAGCAAATGCTGTTATTTGCTTGGTTAGGTCTGTCTGAACTGTGTTAACCGTACAAAAGACTATACCACTGCCTACGTTCACTGTAGAATAAGTCGAGATACACATTTTCTCGGTGTGTATATGTATGCTGTGACTGTAATAGGCGCACACACAAAACGTAAATGAGACTAAATACCTAAATAACTCTAGGGTGTGCGTAGTTATTTCTGAGAACATCTCAGAATTGTATGGTTCTTGTATACTTAGCTGGTGTATTAATATAATTAAGAAAACAGAAAGATAAGTTGAATCGCAGTAGTAGCTTAAAGGACTTCATTATTCCACATAAAAGACTTGTTGAAGCGCTGTTTGACTGAGTGAATTCACACTAATAATTTTCAAGGTTAATTGTATATATATATATATATATATATATATATATATATATATATATATATATATATATATATAATATATATATATATATATAGTCATGAAGAATACCCAAAAGTTGGTCAAATAAACCATCAACCTTCCATTTTAACTTCGGTTTAAGTATATTTACTTACACACTAGTTTTCCTATACAATCTGTTTAAGCACATCACTTTGCGAATCTTTATTTCGTGACAAAAAATTTCCTATATGAAGCAGTGAATCATTAGAAAGTATTTATGACAGTTGTTCACCTCTACTATTCTTTCATTGTAATTAATTTCCTTAAAAGAATATTTTATGTTACACTTGTTTTATAGAACATTTATGGTATAAGTAATTCAGCGGATACTTACTATGGGACGCTTTTCTCACATTTATCTTATGGCATGGGTGAAGGCAGTGGTTCCACTTCTACCACGAGCCCGGGTGCAGAAAACGCGGCCGCTGCAGCAGCCGCAGCCCTAGCGGCAGTGGCTTCTGGAAGGAACGATTGGTCGAATACTGATGGTTATACCGCTGTTTCGAATATGATGACTGGCATGCGTACACATCCTCAATCACTGACAAATTGTTCAAATTCTGGAGAGTTGACAGATTCATCCTGCGGTATTCCATCAAATTCTTTAACATCTCCTTATGCTGCAACTTTACTGGCTGCAGTAGCTGCCGCAGCAGCAGCGGCGTATCCACTTCCTCAGGGTCCTGCAAATACAGTTCCTACTCAAACGGGTCGAGCCTTTTTGCCCAATGCATCTATGAATAACAGAGCGCCTGATTTCACAACAATGTACTATGGTTCCACTCCAAGACCATCCTCTGTCCCTACAACAAACCAGCTTGGAGGACTCTTAGGTAGCCTGCCTAATTGGCCGTTCACAGTCCCTCCAAGTCACTATCCGAACGCTTCGTTTTTAGATAGGTCTGCGGGTGTGGTTCCTTTTGATGGTTGGACTTCAAATGGGCAACAGTTAACTTTATCATCAGCATGTGGTGAAGCTGATTCAATCAACCACTTTAGCCAAGGTCCTTCTGAAGCGAATGTATTATCAAAAGATGCACATGCTTATTACACATCAGCAAACATACGGGATGTTTATGCTGCACCAGTGACTTACTCCCAACAACAACAACAACAACAGGGAAATACAGAAGACCCTGGTGTTTCTTTTGTGTATCCTCATCCAAATACGAAGCCTACTTACCCATATCCATCCCATGTAAGTCAGTCACATCTAGTAAATGGATTACCAGGAAGCATGTCAAATGCGTTAGATCCATATGCATCTATTAATCAACGTCAAAAAATCCCACAGAATTTGGTTAGTGAGTTTGGTCGGCTTAGTGTTGGACATAATGTTGATGCAAACAACTGTAGTGATAATGGAGTAAATCATTTGCATACCTCTTTCTATGAAAATTCAATTGTCGGCAATGGAGGTAATACACAAGCTCAAAATGCTGCATCAACGCAGTGGTCTCACAAGAAGGAAAGCAATGGGGTAAGTTAATTTGGTCGTTTTACCCTCTCCCTTGTGTTTATACTATATGTAAATTTGTGTAGCATTCAACTTGTTCAAATTTATCAGAGGGACTAATTGTTGTAACATTCAACTTCTGTCTGAATGGAATGTAGACATCGACCTTTCAACCGTAGATTTAATTGCAAAAGCTGTCTCCAATCTAAAACTAGACAAACCATTGGGACCTAGTGAAATGATTTCAGAGATGTTCAAGGATCGTAGCGATCAACAACTGAATGAGTTAACTAAGATACTAGGTAATGCGTAGGAATATTAGATAGTCCTGCCGGACTGGCGTAAACCGTTGATTATCCAAATTTATATGAAGTGAGACAAATTTTCTTGTGATAATCACAGGGTCTTAGCTACATGACTAACATGGTATCTAAAATTCTAGGATCAATAATCCTGTGTAGACTAAGCAGTGCTCGACAAAAATAAACCCCTAGAAACCAAGCGGGCTTTAAACCTCGATGGCGATTAATATCTTCACTCTTCGACAGATTCTGGAACGTAGTTAGTGCCCAACAGTCATCATATATCCTGACCTGAAGACTCAGTCGACCGAAGGAAGTACTGTCTGGTTATGAAACGAATTGCCAAGGAAATATGTTGCACTAATCAGGGCACTGTACTTGAAATCATTCAGTCATGTAAGGGGAATCGCAGTGTACAGAAGGAGGAAAATTCAGTGGGTCTAGGAGTACATAAAGAGTGCATGAATCTGCGTCATTGAAAACGATTTTAAGCCACGTTACCAACAGTCTCCAGTCATTGTTTCTTAGGGCTCAAAATGAATGAAAATGCTACTTTTCGAGAAGAAACACCAATTAGAATTACCGTTTGAATACTGAATTTTCATTACTCAAAAGTATGATTGACTATCATAATGTGCTTTAGTAAAACATACGCAAATACATCGGTCCTCATACTCACTTAAAGCAAATTTTGTATACATTCTTGCTAATCTATGTAAAAGGAATTCATTGGACCGCTGACCTAAAGCAAGCATTTCATCAGTTCTTATTTTGTTTTTAATTCAATTTTGGTTTTTCTTGTCATTGATTGAATCGAAATGTCCGACATATCAGCTCTGTGCGGACGTTTCAACGATGTCATCACAGGCCAAATACTTCGATGCAATCAATCAAAGCTGAAATCAAGATTGAATTAAAAACAAACTAATAATTAAAACCCTCTGCACAAGATGTGGTTCCCGTGACCCAAGTGGTCTAGTGGATAACGCTTTGGCGTTTGAAACGATACTGTGTTCGAAAGACCGTCGCTGACTAGGGAAAGCAGGTACATCTAGATGATGAGTCCCAGAAGGGACGAAATGAACATCGTGGATCCCACTGCTAATCACCTTCCAACAAATTACTTTATCAATCTTTTGTGACGAATAACACGTGCTGTCACATGAAACATCCTATGTAGGGAGGTAATAGTTTAACTTGACATGACAGTCTTGGCTTAGGCTGGGTTCGAGCCCACAGTGACGTAGTACCGTTATTTCTTTCGTTGATGGTAGTCGGGGTAGTCAAGTTCTATACTTGTTCATATCTTTGATGTTTGTTAATTCATCAGGATAAACACAAAAACTGTTCATTATAAGCTAACCAAATAAATTATATTATTATTTATTTATTATATCTTTTAATTCCTAGAGGAACATAGGGCTTCAACCGAACTCTGTCTGTCTGTTTTCGACATAGAACTTTGCACAAATGTGCGGAAGTTCAAGTCGCCACATTCCGTGTAGCACGCGAAGCAAGAGAAGAAAGTACAAGAAAAGCATAATAGAAACAGTGAGCAGAGGTGTGAGACAAAGGAGTAATAAAGAAATACAAAACAGTTTCATTGAAGATCATAAGTCACAGGGAGTGGATGCATCTGGGCCACTGAGAACGGTTTTGAGCCATGTCACCAATTGTTTCCAACCATAGATTTTTACCGTCCCGAGGACCCCAGCCTGGAAGTCTACACCTTTCTACGTGGCTTAGACCAACTGTTGTGGATTTCATTGACTGATGCCAAGTTTTCGTTTGACCGCCGCTAGCTTTTTTCCAGCCTGACCCTATATCCGCTAACATAGCTCGTCGAGGGAGGCGATGGCTTGGCATACGTAACACATGTCCTAACCATCTCAGTCTTTGTAGCTTCACGGCTTCGTCGATTGATTTCCCCTGTTTACCTAGAACTCGACGCCTAACCTCAATATTGCTCACCTTATTATGCCACTTTACACGGGAAATAGAGCGCAGGCACCTATGATCAAAGACAACTAATCTTTTGCATGTCTTCCACTCTCAGTGGCCAGGTCTCACAACCATAAAGGAGGACGGAGTGGACTGATGAGCAGTACACCCGCCCTTTGGTCGATAGTCGAACATCTCGTCTACGCCAGAGTCGGCGTAAAGTAACAAATGCGAAACGAGCCCCTTGTATTCGTGCTGAGATTTCGTCAGAGATCAGCCCGTTGGGGCTAATGGTACTTCCCAAATAAGTGAAGCGGTCAACGTGCTCTACCACTTCACTTCCTATTTTTAAACTAGGCGTCGATGTAGTCCAGTCCTGTAACATCATCTTGCATTTGGCGGGAGCGAATCGCATGCCAAACATTCGTAGATTGCGGTTCAAGGTGTTTAGAAGACTCTGCATTTCGTCAGCGTCTTCGCCTAGAAGGACTATATCGTCTGCATATTCCAAGTCAACGAGATTATTCCCCGGTAGCAAGTCAATCCCTGAGTCGCTGAAGTCACCTAGGGTTAAATCCATTAACACATCTATGATGAAGTTGAATAGAACCGAACGTCTCCATTGCCTTCTGTTTTCTGCCAACTTTTTCACCCCGCTTTAAGTCTGCTCACATGCTTTCATCTCCTCTTCACATGACCTCCATGTCACCCCTGCACTGACGACCAACTCGCTGCTTCCCTTTCGAGTTCCATTCGACCAATGGCCTGTCTAGTGATGTCACTTGATGGTTTCCTCAGCGTATGGCCAATCCATCTCCATTTCTTCCTGCCTATCTGTTTCGCAATAGGTTCCTGCTGAGTTGGTTCGCTCATTGCCAGAGATCTCTGTTGCTTATCTTTTCTGGCCAGCCATTTGATCTTGAGTATTGAGCGAAGACAACTGTCGATGAGATTCTGTAGTTTGTTTGAGGTGCTCTTTATGACGCGCTGGACAAGTCTCTGATCCGTATAGTAGCACTGACTTCACATTTGAGTTGAAAATCCGGATCTTATTTTTGATGCTGAGTGCTGTTGACCTCCACACAGACTTAAGAGTAATGAAAGCCTGTTTTGCTTTTCGGATTCTGGCTTTGATATCCTCGTCAGTTCCGTCCTCCTGTAGTTGAAACGATGCTTCCCAGGTAGGTAAAGGTTACTTTTTTCAGATTCTTCCCATTTGTGCTGATTGTTGTTGTTAGCCAGGAATCTTCGTCGCCCCTGTTTTCTCTATGTTCACCTGAAGTCTTATCTTCTCTGGATGTTTCTTCTGCCAGCTTGTTGCTTTTCACTTGCATATCTCCCAGTTTGTGGGAAACCAGACATATATCATCGGCGAAGATCAGATCCATTTTATGCCTGTTTCCTCATTGCCCGTTGTCTGTCCCATTATCCAATCTACTGCAATCAGGAAGATCATTGGAGCAGAACACAACCAAAAGCCTTTAAAGTCACCGCAAATAATTTCCCAAATAAATCATCACATTGCAACTCCACTGATCCAAGAATAACTTCGTGGATCGTAAAACAAGCAGTAATTTCTCAAATCATGTGTCCAGCCGTATGTATGATCTCAACAACTCGAAATTGTCTGTATTTGTATATCCATTAGTGTACTCACTTAGAAACAAATTTTGTTGTAAAGATATATAATGGGGACATCTTGGTGACACCTAACAGATTGCTTTGTATACTTGTAAATGTGTGAGCGAGCCACTAAACAGTAAATATATATATATTTTTATTCTTTGTAGATTACTAATAGCGTGCCTTCAGTCGACAAGTTGGAGAACATATCAAGATCTCAGGCAAATGCAAATAGCTATACAACAAACAAACAGTCAACTTCAGCTAACAATAGACCTACACAATCGTCTACTTCTACATCTGTCAATAATTCACCACGCACAAAAACTTGGGCCAATATAGCAGGACAGCCACCAAAAGGGTCGGCTGCAGTACTTCAGAATTCTGTTGGTGGATGGTCTACAAAAAGATCTCATGCTCACAACTTATCAAATTCAAACAGATCTTTCCAAACTGCCAGTGCTAATTATTCAGGTAACAGAAGTCATCCTTTAGCACCAATCTCCTCGTGTAGTAATGGACATTTAACACAGGAAAAATCAAATGCCAGTGAACAAGGAAATTCACTTTCTTTGACAGAATCTGGTTCAGAAATGAAAGGTACATCAGCAAACAATGATGATTTTTCTGCAAATACATCGACATCTGCTTTGTTACCTTCAGAGGAGTCATCGAAAGCTTTGCAACGCGAATCAGAGGCATTGTATCAACGCTTGGCAAAAGTAATCAATCCCACCAATTTCGATACACATGTTGAAAAAGCTCGATTTTTTGTGATCAAATCTTTTTCTGAAGACGATATACATCGGTCTATTAAATACTCTATCTGGTGTTCAACAGAATTGGGCAATAAAAAGCTTGATACAGCATTTGCAGAGGCTAATCATGCTTATCCAATATATTTATTCTTTTCAGTTAACGGATCTGGTCATTTTTGTGGAATGGCAGAAATGGTTTCTCGAGTTGACTATAATGCTAGAGCTAATGTTTGGGCTCAAGATAAGTGGCAAGGTAAATTTTCCGTTCGGTGGATATTTGTAAAAGACGTTCCTAACACAGCATTAAGACATATTCGTATTGAGACAAATGATAACAAACCAGTCACCCACTCACGTGATACTACAGAGCTTCCCCTAGAAAGAGGTCGACAGGTTATGGAGGTATTCGCTACATATTCACATACATTGTCTATTTTCGACGATTTCATGTATTACGATCAACGTGAAAGACAAGAGGTAAGTCTATGTCTTCTTATATATATATATATATATATATATATATATATATATATATATATATATATATATATATATATATATATATATATATATATGTCCAAACCAAGTTCACTTTTAACGGTTTGAAAAAAATTTGGGCATTGGGTATATGATATTCATTATAATAAAGGTCTTTTGTATTTCCCAATGAATGAAAAACAAAATGATATTGTTTTTACTGACGTTTCGCTATTTAATGCTAATAGCTTTATCAAAGTATCATTAAACCGCAACTTACAAAATCTCAGCATATATATAACAAACAGTTGGGGGTGAAAACAATAGATTTAGGACATATTGAAAGTCAAAATAACAATGGAGATCACTAAACCAAATATCAAGGTAATAGTACATCTGTTATGATATCAAAACAAAGTTAACTAACTTGATCATCGTTCGTTAGTCTGGGTCATTTTTAGTTGTCAAGTTGGTAAATTGGTGGAGATAACAAAATTAAGTGTAGATTGTGAAATACTTGATCATCGTTCGTCAATCTGGGGTCGTTTTTTGTTGTCTACGTTTTCTTAACTTATATATTCGGTCATTATTTTCTCTGAAGTGTTTTCACTATTTACGTGTCTTCAAGTATTGGTTTTGTGGGGATTTTGTTTCATTGATTGGAGGATTTCGTCATGAGCTGACATCGTTTAGAGAACCATTGGAAAACCTGTAGAGAGTACTGTTTCGTCCTAGTTTAGGTCTCTTCGACGGTGTTTTGTGTTCATTATTTTCGAAGTACGAATTGCATAACCAATACACAATCAACAGCTGTACTCCCAGTACTTCTTATCTCCCCTTGTACCTTAGAAGTATCTGAACGGACACGCTGGAAACCGGTTTATTGCCCAAAATTATATATTTATGTATACACGATATTCCCTATTTCGGAGTGTTAGTATAAGAACTGCGAAGCCCTGTCGAAACAGACATTACTAAACTCTACTGCTGTGGTATTAAGGGTATTTCACAAAATGATTTGCTCGTACTATATCATATTTAAGAATTCAAGTTAAAGAGAATGCGTTAAGCAGCCAGTTAGGTAGGTATATTATAGGAATACAGAGTAGGTTAGTGATATCTGTATCACTTGTCTGAAAATATTTTCGTGTAATATACACCGCGGTTACTACAAATCACATTTAACAATTGCAAACATTGTTTTTTTTTTATTCAACCGTATTATTTTTTGCAGGGATTTCGTCGTAAGGAACTTAGTTCACGGAGAGGTTAATTTCGGGAGGAAACAAATTATTTCTGATCAAATCCCGTAAAATTCATTGAATGCCATCATATTACAGAGCATTGCTCTTCACAACTTCATTAATATAAAAGTGGATGATTCGAACATTATACACCCTTCATCTGTGTTGTTTATCCTTTCAAAGTTCCTTTTATTTTCTCACTGGAGGCTGTCGCCAAATGATTTACAGTTTGTGTGTGAATGAATTAGGCTTCCTCTTCTTCTCCTCCTCTTCCCCCTTTTTTCTAGATAAATATGGCAAATTTGTGAATTTTACTCTTAGTGATATTCACCTATCTAATCATGCAACACACACAGCCTCAGGATACATTTAGCTTATACAATTTATCTGTTCGACCAAACTTCAATCTATATATATACAGTCATCAAATGTGTACACATATACACACACATACAGAGAGAGACGTGTTTAAACAAAAGTACATTGATGATTAGAGACAGGTAAGCGTGGTTTAGCGTAATGATGTCAGTGATATATATATATATATATATATATATATATATATATATACATCCTTCATCTATTTTATTGTAGGCAATCATGTTATACTCTCAGTTTTTTAACTCATAAATTCACTTTCATCATACATAATCGGTCACTTTTATCCTCTTTCCTCAACTCTTTCTTCTAAATACAGCAAGAGATTGTTTTCATAATAATACCAACATTCAAACTCATTTTATCCTCCTTTTTACAGATGCACGAATTCATGCACAAAATGACTTTTTTACACACACACACACACAAGAAGAAAAAACACTATTATGTTTACACATTTGACGAGTAATGTATATTTACGTTTGTCGGTAATATATATACATTACACATATATCCTGTTTACTGTATAACTGGAAAATAGTATGTGCTAGTAGTGGTCGCTCATATGGATATAGAAATCGGTAACAAACTGAAATTACTAATATATGCATGCATATATATATATATATATATATATATATATATATATATATAACGACGTTTTATTCGCTTTTATTCATAGGATACTGTTTTTAATTAGTCGATTCTGTTTATCACACATACACACACACCACCTCACTCTATTTACTACTACAACAACTAATATTATTATTATATGAACATAATTGGACTTTGGTCATAAAATAAATTATTATTATTATTTATATTACTCCTATTCTGATCTTCATCTACTCAGACAAGTTTGTTTGTTTTTTTTTATAAAGAAAAGGACACATTTTAGACTATGCTATGCTATTATCAGACTTTCAGTTATCCTGTGAGAGTTATCCTAATAATAATTTAGTTTCTTCTCATTCACTCCTCTCTCTCTCTCTTTTACATCATAATCATTGTAGTATTTTCCAATCTCTTTCTTTTTTTGTGAAGTTATTCTTTTTATTTAATATATTAGTGAACATAATGAGAATATCACAGATTTGAGCAGTTTCAATCGATGATAGCAAGTAAGTTTGCTGTGTTCACATGCACGCGTATATGTTGACATTAGATAACTTGGGAAATTCGTTATTTTATTGCATGCGTGGGTGTATAACTCTTAAGTTTTATCATTAATTATGCACAAAGCACTTCAGTTTGTGTAGCTGAAGATCTTCAGAATAGTGTTACTTGAAAAGTTGTCCCGTAAAACTTAGAACAATCGGCATTTTTCAGAATTGTGTTCTGTGGAGTTGCTAGTACCAACACACCCAATCTTTCTTGTTTTCCAACAGGTTAACTAGATGACGAGTTAGGTGTCCTGAAGCGACATGGAGAAAATAAGTGTAAGGAAGAAATGAAGATGTACTAGTAAGGCGTATACGTTCCATACTGGACGCATAACATTAACTACTTTTTTGTGTCCCGATTGATCATAGAAAGTTCGCTATGCTATAGTATATTCAAAAGGTGGCTCTCGTGAATAACGCCTTGGCGTTTGAAACTATGAGTACTGGGTTCGAGTCTCGGTGGGAACATCATCACTCACTGAGAAATGCAATTACATCCAAATGACGAGTCCTAAATAGGACGAAATGCGCATCCTGGATTCCACTGTTAGTCATTATCCATCAATTAAGTAATATTCATAGTTCATTTGCTGTACATTAAATATGGCTTCTTAACTTATGCTTAGTAGTGTGCCCAGCTTCCAATGCGTAACTACTACTCTCTAACTTCCTACCATTTAGTTATACAACCACAAAACAGCTGTAATAAGGAAGCAAAAATAAAAGTGCATGTTGCGTATTCCAAGTATGGTGAACTTAAGGAATATATATATATATATATTTCTTATTCAATAAAGTAAAAACTTCAAGAATAGATTCAATAACCGATCGAAAGTTTCATTATCCTTGTAGTGTAGTGTTTACAAATTTATACACTGGTAATTTTCATTTGGTTTCATCATCACTTGCATCCTCACTAAGCGAAATGAACTGCAAAAAGTTTGTTGCAATTGAAACATTATCTGGAGTTTTGTTGAATTCGTCAAATTTTAATCGTTGCACTGCAATGTAACGACGTTTTAAACGAACAAGGTTGCCTGCAGTGTATTTTTTCTCCTGATTGGTAATCTGTAGAACTACATCCTGATTATCTGCACTCTGAAAACACTTCGGCAGATCGATAGATAAAGCACCTTGTGCTTGTTTATTCAGTATATGATCCACAATTTGTTGAGTGATATGCTCCAAATTCTGTGAATTGGCAAAAGTCAGATATGCAGGGAAGAGTATTAAAAATATTAAAAAAAGTTTTGGAGATGTATTACAGAACTCGGCAAAAACTCACTTATGTGGATTTTGAGAAAGGTGCAATTTATCCTAAGCATATCCCCTTACTCATGGAAATTAAACTACAGTGATCTGATCGAGAGAAAGGATCTTGCTACCACCTTAAGAGCTGCTGTTCTTCTGCCCATGAAAATCGGTTAGTGTAGACTTACAATTAAGTTCAATAACTGACTTATGATCAGCGTAGAATCTAGGTATTGCTTGAGTATAATATCTTGTCACTCGACCTCCCGACAACGTGAAAATTCAGATCAGTAGTCTGGTGGTCCTCAGAATTGTCATTCAATCCAAGTTCAGTGTGAACCACAGACTTTAAATGTATATAGTATTGACAATTTGCTATGCCCAGGCGAAGGAATTCCTTATAAGTTTAAGAATGAAATAAATACCACTATATCTCCAATTTCGCCTACATTTGCGATCCAATTTGGTTTCAAACAACCATTCAACTATCTGGTTACTCCTTGAAGTGAACACTGGTGCAACGAAATTCTTGCGATTTTTATTATATTATTATTTCCTCTAATTCCTAGAGGAACATAGGGCTTCAGCCACGCGTCTCTGTTGCGTTTGTTTCTCTGCTAGAGTTTTCACCTGGCTCCAAGTCTGCTCACATGCTTTCATCTCCTCTTTAAATGACCTCCTCCAAGTCACCTTTGCACCGACGACCAACTCGCTGCTTCCCTTTCGAGTTCAACTCGAGGGCCTGTCTAGCGATGTCACCACTTGATGGTTTCCTCATAGTATGACCAATCCATCTCCATTTCTTCCTGCTTATTTGTTGCACAATCGGTTCCTGGTTGGTTTGCACTTAGGTAGATCGATAGATAAAGCACCTTGTGCTTGTTTATTCAGCATATGATCTACAATTTGTTGGCTGATATGCTCCAAATTCTGAGAATTGAAAAATTCTTGCGATCAGTAGGCATTTTAGGCAGAATCCTTTTAAATGATATCTTCAAGTACAAAATTTTTACAGTAACAATACATTCTTATGAGGAGATCATTTTAAGGCCATAAAAAAAACTCTAGATGAAAAGATTTTTTTTTTTGGTAAACGCTTACAATATTGCTTTAGGCGCTTAAACATAGTCATGCAGGCAGGAGTGTTGGTTCAATAGTTATGTTAGATTACTTCTCACTAAAAACTTACTTGTAAGTAGGTTGATGAAGAAACAACAGTTGGTTGAGTTGATTTGTTCGGTTGAATCTTCCCTTTTTCTTTTGTTAGGTATGGTTTCAACTGCATTGTAGCAGTTTCTACATTAATTAGGCTGGGTGAATCCCAAAGATGAGGTTCTATAATTATGAGTGGATTATCCCATCGCTGAGTAGGTTGAGGTCGTTCAAATCTGCTTATCATATCCATAAGTAAGTCATCAGGATACCGGCTTATCTGTTGTTTGTTTAGGTTTCAAAAAGAACACATGAAATAATATACACATAATTATAGTATCATTTACGATATTTCAGCTGAAAAGCAAGTTATATTTAACGAAATGTTTGTAAAACTGAGACACTGTGATGATAATATGAAATTCCCTATTTGTGTTCGTTGGGCATATCAGTTGTCAACTGATATGATGATCATGAGCAGGCGAGGATATAAGGAAACTACAAAACAAACTTGCCGCACTTCAAATCAATATACCTGAATAGGTGGAACGGTGGCGATCAATTACGACGTTACCGTTTAGGTGTTTTTATCAACTCTGTACCCACCACCAGTAACACTTGTGTTGTGGAATTTGCTTTATTATGCGCGTAAAAAACACCTCGCGACGGCTTTTATCCTTAGCTTTATGAAGAACATTTTATTTTGATTTCGGCTTGATTCCACACCGTACATTTTGGTACAGGTATGGAATTTTCACCATGTGATGTCGGTAGTCCAAATTTTGCAGGCCGACCATAGATGTCAGGTGTGCGCCGATAGGGGATCGAACCCCAGACCATGTGCATGGTCGGCGAGAGTCCTAACCACTGTGCCACCGACGCACAGTGTTCGAAACATCATTCATTAAAAATCCTGTAACCAATCAACCAAATCTCTGCAAACCAATACTTAAATATCAATGAGATGCTCACTAACGACTTGCCCTGTTCAGGTAGGCAGTTACCTGGGGTTCCAGTGAGAAGTCGTGACCAGTTGGGTGCATCAGGGCGGGTGTGAGGACACTTACTCGCCGAAGACATTGGCTAGCGGTTGCGCTATATCGTGATTTGGCAGAAGTTAGAATTCATGGGCTGGTATTGGATCGGGTCCCAGTGGCTTAATGGTCTACGAGTTAGCTCGCCTTGTAAAAAGAAGGTCCTGGGGTTCGAACCCCAGTGGGTGGGTGCGTACTGATGAAGAGTCCCAAAGAGCTAGGACGAAACAGCTGTCCAGTACTCTCAGGTTTCCCAATAGTTCTCTAACCAATGTCAACTCATGATGAAATCTTGTAACCAAAAATCCTTTTACATTTTGTGATGATATCCAAAAAATGTATGAATAGGGATATTATCAGTATAACCTTTTAATCAATTGAAAAATAGTGTTATGACTTATATATATTTCATTTATTGGCTAATAACTGTTGTAACAAAATTTCTGAAGCATAATAAGAAATATAACTTGATGTCTTATGAGTAGTTCTCGAACAATCACTCATAAGACACATTCATTACCTAATATCAGCAGTTACATGCGCGCGCACACACACACACACACACAAAATAAATGAATAATTGTAGCAAAAGTGACCTTTACTTTAGAATTCCATTGTTCAGATATTTCAGGTGAAACATCACTGAGTAGAACAATGTGTTGATGTTTATGAGATTTCGCCAGACAATACAATTCATATCTATAGCCTTTAATGTAATTCGGTGCATCCATAATTACAATGGAAGATTGATTTTGTGCAAGTGCCCGTTCAACCTATATAGAGAAAAGAATAGGATATATATCAAGTAGAAAAGACAAGAAAAATACACTCGAAATGCATTCGTGTAACTTGTACAATTGTTGCAATCATTGCTAAAAGGCCCAAGTACCAGATTTCTTCACAGGTATACTCTTAGACTGACTATGCCCAAGCAGTCAAAATGCTATACACCTGTTCATAAATTACTGAAAAGTTTCAGGTAATAAATAATGGAGAACAGATTAGGACGAGTGACTGTGAATAGCGCTTAGGTGTAAACTTTGGCTTAAAACACTCTGCTTATATGAATAAGAGGGAAGTTGTGTGTCACAATTATTTTAAATAATAATAAATCATGAATTGGTGACTAGGGCGCCGATGGAATAGCGGTTAGGACACTCGCCGACCATGCACATAGTCCGGGGTTCGATCCCCGACCGACGAACTTCTTTACCTCGCTAAGCCAGAAATAATGCTGGTAAAGAGGAAAGGTTGGGCATGAGGCTAGCAACCCCATCCTGTAAGAATTAACCACTGCTACAGAAACTTCAAGGCACTAGCTTGAAGCCCTATGTTCCACTGGGGAACGTCAAGGAAAAAAATGAAGTGGTGACTGATGGTTATCAGATGGTGGATGCAAACACTGGTAATGACATTTTGAATGCATGCATTTATCGCTTTTACTTACATATATGTTTGATCTCACACATCTATGCAACAACATCCGCCAAAAAAGCTCATTATGTGTATGTGTACACACTTGTAGTGACATCCGCCTTTAAGACTTAGTTAACTAACCTTAAGGAGAAGTATCGTTTCAGAGTGATAGCGACAAGAAATGAGAATAGCCATAGGCTCAGTAAGTCTTTTCTTTACTATACCATACACATTTGCCAGCGAGCGATGCTATCAGCTCTTCAGATAAATATACTCCATATAAACCATTGAATAGAGATTAGTAATTAGAATAATAATAATTTGCTTTATTCCAGAACAGTACTTGTGATACAGAATGGAATTCCCAGCATTTTACTACAGTATTGTATCCAGTTTGTACATTACCAATAAATAAAATCCTACAAAGATTAACAGTAATCTCAGTTAGTTTTGACAACAACATATTGGCATATCGGTAGCAAAGCCGAAATTGAACAGAGTGTTTGAAGGTGTTAGAAAAGTAGATGTTAGCATATTTACTGGCGTAAGCGGTAACAAAAACGGTCGAGATATACAGGGTGTGAAGGAATGAATAGAGTTTATAAGGAAGAAAGAAACAAAGCAGCACATAACAACAAAAAAAAGAGAAAAGGAAACGTTGTACCTACAAATGATATGAGTTGGAAAGACGAAATCCAGTTGTTCTACTGACTATTTAATACGTTATAGGTATCACGCCTAATGCTTTCTTTATCGCACAGAACACGAGCTAAGTTAGGGTAAGTAAGAACAGTATTACTTGGGGAAATTTCGAACCTTTATAAGCTAAACATTAGACAGGCGGCATAAGATGTTGCTATAGCTATATAGTTTGTTCAAATACATTACAATAGATGTATCCAAAATGAAGTCTACTGAGTAATCCTGCGTTTGAATGACTTAACATGTCGTATACTGTCAGCTGTGGCTGGTAGTTAAATCCATAAGTGAGTAAGTTATTTGTGACTATGAATTACAAAATGTTGAAAGTGTGGTCACTGTCGCAACAGGAAACATGTAGTATCAAATGACTAGTAGTTTAAATCAGTTTTTATACATCTGACAACTCATACACGTTTTTTCTATGATAGTTACTCAAAGAATGAAAGAAAACGGTGAGTAGGGTACTCACATAGTACTCATAGTTAAATGCTTTCTTTTACCGAAAAATATTCTGATCGATTGATATGAATGGTTGATCAAAATGATCTAAACGAAAGTTGGCTATCTAGCTTATTCAAAAACCATCATGTCCGTGTGAAGCATCTTGATCAATTCAGTGAAAACAGCCGGATGTGTTATAAACGCTCTCCATACTCTGGCCAGTTACTTGAGTGGCTTGGTAGACTAAATCCACCGAGCAAACGCTAGTTGGTTGGTGTCGGTCAGTACCGACGGAAAAATTAACCGAATTTTACTGCTTCGGACAGGTTATATAACACCGACCTAGAAAAGTTTTTGCTTCACAAAAGGAAACAGTGATGGAAATTCATCTTTAACACACTTTACAAATACCTGATTGGATTGAAGTCTTTTTTTTTGTTAAATTCATACCTCCGATTTTTGTTGACCACGAAATTCACGTTCTCTTTGAGAATCAGAATAAATATCACACCTGATATCATGGCTGATGTTTCCAGATTGAAGACTACTGCTCTTGAATTCATCGATAATAATAACCGGTGAATTTGCATAGTTTTGTTTCAATGAATCGGCTAGCAGAGCAGCCATTGTTGATTTACCAGAACAAGGATATCCGCATAACATAATCAATGGCATTTTTAGAAGAGAGAATGTTATCGTACGAAAATGAATACGTCAATGGAATTTCACTCTAACACACGATCAAGCTTAGATTATAAGCTTCTGCTGGAACTAAAATCAAAGTCTGTAGAAAAAGACAAAAAAAAGTGAGACCATTGAACTTGAACTAAATCACAGTACAACAATGGCTCTATATTCATATAAAATACAAAAACATTGTTAGTAAAAATTTAATTGATTCACTTAATTTGGCAGTGTCTATACACTACAGACTAAGTTTATAATAAACAGCAGTCTCTCAAAAGCGGACTTGGTATCACAAAAGAACCAAGTATATTAAAGTAGACAACAGACTTACAAACATATGTGAAAAAAAACAACGTACACAAAAATTTGAGATTTCTAAATACTCTGTAGAAGATTATGTGAAGGCGCTTGACGTGTGTTTTAGTGCTATCAAATGCAAAATAGTTAGATGCATTGGCTAGCCTACTTATTTAGAAACTTGTATTGACCTTAATAAACTAGTTGCTCGAATAATAAAAAGGTTTGGTTACAGGATTTCATCATAAGTTGACATTGGTTAGAGAATCATTGTAAAACCTAGGAGTACTGGACAACTGTTTCGTCCTGGTTTGGGACTCTTCATCAGTACGCATCCACCGCCACTGTTCGAACCCAGGACCTTCTAGTTACAGGGAGAGCTAGCTCATAGACCATTGAGTCACTGGGACCCGATCTCATGGCTAGTTCATGAATTCTAACTTGTGCCAATTCATGACGTAGCTCGACCACCAACCAGTGTCTTTGGCTAGTATTTGTCCTCACACCCAACCTGCCGCATCCCACTGATCACGACTTCTCACTAGAACCCTAGGTAACTGCCTGCCTGAATAGGGCAAGTCGCTAGTGAGCATCTCATCGATATTTAAGTGTTGTCAGCTCATGATGAAATCCTGTAACTAATCAAATCTCTACAAACCAACACTTAAATAAAGAGGTTTGTTTGACGTCTACCAACTTGTGTGCTGGAGTGATTGATATTCGACAACTCATCATAACCGGTGACATGTACTGAGCAGCAATCTGTTTCGTTCTGATTCATTAATATGAGACAGTGACAGCTGAAAATATAAGATTAACGACTTTTGTTCACTGGTATCTACGTTCATTCACTCGCGTTCACTGGAAAAACATCATAAGTGATGTGATTGTTTGGCATGGACGGTAAGCTAGTCAGTGTTTAGGAAATGTATTACACATGTCAAGAAACCACCGCAATATTAACTGAAGCGAGATTGCATCGGAAAATAGTCGGATCAAAACACAAGATCAATCCATAATGTCACGGATTTCTGATCTGAGCCACTAAAGGGATATGTAAGTTACCTGATTGGAGTTATATGGATGCTGAAAACCAACGGCTGAAGAATCATCGTGAACCAGCTTAAATCTTCCAGTATGGTAGAAAAAATAATCAGCTCTTATAACCAACATCAAATTATTACGTCGTTCATTTACTTTTACCAAAGTTTTACCATGATTTCCCTGTTTGAAGAACATTCGGAAATGAAACACTTCTGAAATTTGAACAGTAATGTTACCATTTAATCTGTCACGACTTTTTATCATTTGGAACTTCACACTATAGTACAAACTACTTACTTAATGAAATTAGTGTATGTGAAATTCAGTTTGTAATCTGAGTTGGACAGTGAGTCATGAGTTCAATTTCCCAGCTGAGGTCGCCTAAACCTGTGCAGAGTGAGATTAGCAAGCAAAGCCTATTGCCAATGACCAAAGCGTGTATCGTATCATCTCTCGACAAAGAATCTTATCTTACCTTGGCTGATCAAAACTGTATAACTTCAACTAAACTGTATTGGCCAATTCATGAAATATGTATACACACGCATGTGTATGCTAAATAATTGTACGTGTGAACTACCTAGTTATAAGCATTGTCACACTACTGGTACATGAAATAAGTTTAGTCATATAAATTTATTACTTTAGCTACTAAAAACCAAACAAACATATGATAATCATTAAATACAAGGTATCAGATAAGAAAATATGATAAAGACCCAAGTAACTACTATACTGTTAGCCATTGAATAAGACAATAAGATATGTGGCTATTACCAACTAGTCTCTTTGCAAATCAAACACCTGTGAATGATAAAAATGCAAGCACTTGAATTCTCCCTTTATTTTTAAACAAAAGAAAAGCTATACAGGTGACAAACCTTACACAAATTAAATGCAAACATAAAGCGAAAAATAATCCATTCATATGAGTATTAACAAAGCTGTAGCCAGTTTCACAAACACACACACGATTTTCACCTACCACATTAGACAGCAGAGTAAATTGTAGCAGTCTATAAGGGGGGTTGGCTAGTTTCAAGTCTGATCATTGTTTGATATCTGCTGGATAACTGTCTCCTCCTAGTTCAGGACTGTTCAGCAGTGCACCCACATGGTCCCACCGGGGATCACCCCCAGGACCTTCAAGTTACAAAGCCTGGCCATTGATCATGCGGCCACTAGGAAGGAATTCAGTAGCCTATGGATTCTAACTTCTGACAGTTCGCGATTTTTACAGCCACTGCTAGCCAATCTCATTGGCGAATTTATTTTTCTTGAACAATAATATTGCCGTAAAAGTCCAAGAACCCCTTCACCTTCACTGAAGTGATGCTGCAGACGCAGTATGATCCAGCATCTTAGACAAACGATTAACAAGTAATCCTCAAAGTAGTAACTCCTTAAACTGTTTGATGGAAATTCCGAAATAGTTATATGATTCTCCAACTTTCCCCCAGCCCTGATTATATTACACAGTTGAATTTAGCTCAAACCAAAGAAGGAAACCATTTTCAGACATATTTTTGCTCACACATACGAGAAAAGAAAGCATATCACACTGTATAGTAAAAACACTTTATGAAGAAATAACTTGAAATATGTATATTTATGATGACGTGTATATATTTTCTGTACATTGATTTTTTTAAGATAAGCATTTTTTATGCCTATACAAGTTAAAGTTGTTACAGCTTTCAAGGAATGTAACAAAAATGATGATGAATAATATGCTTTGACGACTTTGTGTAGGTGCAGCACTTCATTAATCTGGATAATGATAAACTTTGATGGTAGAATCAGCTGAAGAGCTTAAAATATAATGCGTAGATTTAACACCTGTAGATGATGACTCGATTGCAGGAGCCCAATCAACATCTGTCACCATATCAGCATGCCCCATCAAGTCGTACAAAGAAGCACGAGGATTACGTGTATCCCATAGACGAACACTACGATCAATTGATCCAGATATGAATTGATCATCTCTATGAGGTGCCCAAGCAACTGAAGTCAACCAACCTGTATGTCCTTGGAATCCGGAAAGTACCAAAGGTGCTTTATAAAAAGAATAAAGAGAAAATCTTACTATTAGAATTAATCAATAGAATGGACAGGTACAACATGAAATACCAGTAGTCAAATGAGAAAAAATAAATAAACCTGTATACAAAATTGCTGGGTTGGAGAAAAGTAAATAAGCGCTACACTAAATGTGGTTTCATGTAATGAATCACAAGAGGGAACGATTTCAGTTTTGTAAACTGAAGTTAGTTGGATCTATGACTTACTGTTTGGAATACCTAACCAGCTACAACACACTCTCATAGTATCTAAACAAATGTCAGTTGACATCCTCTTTCGCCTTTTTGGGACTACCAAATGTAACCATATATGTAACTGCTAACTTTAAATACACTGTCACGTTATCAGCATACCACTAATTCCTTCTTAGTGTAAATGTAGGAAGTTTCCTACTTGGTGGTGTTAAATTAAGGATATTCGTGGTGGATTAACATTAGCCAATATAAAATTGTATTTATTTTCGACTTTTTTTTAATTACAGCTTGATTCCACACTGTATTTTTTGGTAAAGGTATGGAATTTTCAGCAGGCCGACCATAGATATCAAGTGTGCGTCGGCAGAGGATCGAACTCCAGACCACGTGAATGATCGGCAAGAGTCCAAACCGCTGTAAAGGGAGAAGATAGGGGACTTGGTTAGTGAAATGCATATTTATGCATCCTTAGCTACATTAAGGTTTAGCTAGATCAGAGGAAAATAAATTGTTCTGCTTGGTTGGTGACTGCCCCAAGGTTAAACAACTTTTCCAATGAGGTTATTTTCAAAACGTAAACTAAGTTCAGATTTGAGGAAAAGAAACTTCTAACTCTGCAGCCATTGACTTGAAATGTTGGTTTCAATTGTGACCGCTTCCTACCCAATCTGCATCATGCCACATCATAACTCATTGAGTGAAATTTAAGACATCACTCGACTAGTAACTCGTGATGTCAGTGTCAACAATGGCGACTGAAAACCCCTACACTCTGTGCTTTCATTCCTCTCCATGCGTGTCTCCCTGTCTATGTAAAACAGGATTCGTGTTGAGAACTTATAAAATAAATGAAACGATACGAACACGTGATTGATCTACCTAACTACATTGTTTCGTCCGTTGAACAGTTATGTTAGGACGACTTCCGGGATAATGAATACTGAAGACATTAAGAGACGATGGAACTGAAATTCCAAACTCTAGAGCACACTGTAAGAGTTACAGCTTAACAGTATTTACAGGGAACCTAAATTAAGTTTCGATAGCCATGCAACTGAAAATTTACATGCATTTATTTATTTATTACTATATTACTGCTAAGGACGATATTGTGACATATGTCAATTGCGAAATTAATCACTACGAATAAGTTGATTATGCGTAATCATGACTAGTAGTTTAATGTTTAAATAAATAAGACCATAAATATTGAAATACAATGATAAATCTATAAGCACTGTTCTGACAAACATACCATCAGCTCTTGGATCATACACTCGAATAGTGTTATCTGATGAGGCGGTTAAAACACCACGAGAAGAAACATCTGCATCATGTAATGCATGGTTAGACAGTATGCAACGGACTTCAGCACCAGTGTTGCCTTTAGCTGCCTCACAATCCCAAATACGTAGACTATGATCCCAACTGACAGACAATAACTGGTTTCCGCCTTTCTTTGCTTCACCATCATTAGTAAGGGCTGTAGTTAGCCAACAAACACGTGTAACAGTTTCTCGATGTCCAGCCAGAGTGAATAATGGAATCTAAAATATATTTGGAAACAAGAAATTAAATTACCGGGTCATTTAAATATAGTGTTAATCGAATTTAGATACAGTCAGGATGAAGTTAAGAGTGCCAAGATGAAGACGTGACGCGGAACAATAAATCCGTTCTAATAATATCGCGGAAGACAAATGACACGGTCATACATCTAAATACAACTAAGGGGGAGGAATACATGGAGATAAATAATTCCCCTAAATTGTCAGACTACAGCATTATTCACTCAGCGCTAGATTCTGACCTTCCTTGTTTAAGTCGAGTTGTTAGGATGAAGGCTCGCGTTCAAGCATCCACGCCATCATTTTACATTCGGTCGTTCGTGCACCATCCCCAGCTAGCTAAGCAATCAATCCAGAAATATATCTTGTATTTTGAACAATAAGTCTGGTGTTTTAATTTGTCTTTGATTTGAGCAGAGCAAGTGCTATAGGAGCCGGAGGATAAGACTTGAGCTTGTAGACAGAGCAACTTGTGTGAAAGTCGACATCCTTCATTTCCTAAGTTGGTAAGCTCGTAACCGAACTTCAAACTTGTGAACACGCAAACAACATTCATCTTCTAAAAAGGTTAAGCAAACAACAAACGCTACCTGGCATTCCTCCGTTTCAGTTGTATTTTATTTAAGTAGTACTTACATAATTTATTTTACATTCTTATATGAATAGTACAACGAATTAGTAGTGGTGAGTGATTTCGTTGTGGTTATATACGTTAATACATACATTACCTTGGATTTGAGTACTCAGAAGAAAGACGATAGTACGTGAACATCAGATTTTTACAACAGATATATATTTAACAGTTGAAAATAATGATGAAAATACCACAACAACCAGCAAACAAAAATTATTTATCAAAACTAACCATTTTTTCTTCACTATTTAATTTTAAATTATCTAATCTGTGTTTTAGTTCATAAGAATTACTTAGTCTAGTCGAAATCAGTTTATATACACGTATACCAATAAACATGGCTATAGAAGCAGTCAGAAACGAACTCATTTCTGACCAATAACTGGAACTTAGGACGAAAGTGCCACTTGAAGACATAATACTGGGAGTACAGCTATGCCTGACTTCCACAGTATTTGAATTCCAAGGGAAAATATACAAACAAACTGAGGGAGTTGCCATGGAATCACCAATATCCCCTGGTGTGGTAGATATATTCATGGATAGGTGGGAAAACATAGCAATTGAAACGTTCACTCCCACCCCAAAAGTATGGTGGAGGTATGTAGATGACACATTCACTGTACTTAGGATACAGGATATAGACAGATTTTTCGAATACACTAACTCAAAGGTGGAGGCAATTCAATTCACTCATGAATTGGAAAGTCAGGAAGGGGAGCTTCCAATGTTAGATTGCAACGTAAAAAGGAAAGAAAATGGGAAGTTAAACACTAGTGTTTACAGGAAACCCACACATTCAAACAGATATTTGGACTTCCGATCATCCAATCCTATGTCAGCAAAATTAGGATTGGTGAAATTTTTAAGTGACAGAGCACAAAAACTAAGTAGTACCGAGGAAAATCTAAGACAAGAAGTGATGCACATAAAAGCCTTGAAACTTAATAATTACCCGGATAAATTAATCAAGAAATATGTAAGGAAATGTAAAAATACAATAAATAATGATAGTAGCGATAGTGACAATAGTAATAATAATAATCATAACAAAAATAATGATAATAATAATAATATTAATGACGACACCAACAATAAGGAATCTAAATCATCAGTAATAATTCCAAACAAGGAAGGAACCTGGGAAGCCTTACGTAGAATTCTTAAGAAGGCAGGAATAAAAGTGGCTGGTATTCAAACTCTTAAATTCAATTAGAAACAAGCTTTGTCCGTTAAATGGTGGACAAAAGAAGCCTTTAAAACAAAACAATTTAGTTTATCTAATACCCTGGAATCATTGTCAGGTCAAATACATAGGTCAAACTAGTAGAACAGGGACAGTCAGACTAGCCGAACATCAAAACCTAATAAAATCTGAACACCTACGGTTTGGAAACTTATAAAATCTAGATTGGTTGACCCGAATAAGATAAGAAATCTAAAGAATAGTTCAGCTATATCACTCACTGCATGCAATTACACACAACCATACAATAAGATGGATGGGATAGGATGACAGTTTTAAAATCTAATGTCACAGAGTAGAGCGAGAGATTGATAACGGTAGCTTTGTTTATCGAATCAACTGCAAATACGTGTAATAGGAATGATTCAACACCTGTCCAGGCGGATATTTGGAAAATTCTACTACCCCAACGACGACAAATAGGAGAGAACAAAGAAAAGTATAAAACGCAAGTTTCAAAGTCGTGTGATTACAACTGATGAGATGATTATGAACAATAAATTTTGTTTGAAACGTCATCCATTAAATAATAATACTGTTTCACTGTGTGATACATCTAATAAACAAACTAATGTGAAAAATTGTAGATTCAAACATATTGATCTTACTCGAGTAGGTATTTTGCTTGTCGATTTCCGGATATGTGCGATGCCACCAGTTTCTTCAGATAAATCAGTAGATTCAGTTGCTTCAAAGATAAAAAAAGGAATAAGTAAGTCGTCCGGTTAACAGACAGATGCATATGATTTATAAGCCCATAAATGATCTTCCGAACTAAATTTGAACACAGTTTTTTTTAAAAAAACATACCTGCTGACCAAAGTTTGACAGTTCCATCCCAAGACCCTGTAGCAAAGTGTGTCGGATTGTTATCAGATCCACTGAGTGGTCGGGCGGCTACAGTCATTACAGTTTCAGAATGTCCACGACAGACTGCAAGGCAATCAACTGTATTCGACTTCATATCCCAGGACCAAATTTGAGCAGTCTGGTCAAATCCCCCTGTCACGAATACCGCCTTGTTTTCCTTTTGATCTGAAGTGTTTACATTAAAAAAAAAGAAAAACTGGATATGTTAGTAAAAGAATATGTTTAAGGTAAAACCTAATAATAATAATAATGATAATAATAATAATACACAACCGTCAGCACTGCGATAGGCTGAGTTATATTCACAAGTACATAATACACTAACAGAAATTTGAATGCTTGGGGTAATTATCTACGTCAACTATCAATCTCACATATGAAAGCATTTATTATTTATTTAATTATTCAAACGCAGAAAAAACTTGATACAATATGGCACCAAGAAAGATGGGCCACACAATAATAATAAAACAACATAGATTAAAAGTAAAAATATAAGTAGGGAACGGATAAAGAACTTCATCTGGAAGGAAAACAGTCATAATTAACAAGTTCAAACAGTATTCGTTAACTATCATCGGGGAGGGAAGAAAGAAGGAAATCGCAACACGTTCGCCATTGACTACGATTCTTGGCCATATCCGATAACGTTTCGAGCCATCCATTCGAGTTATCTCACGGACACCAACCAGGGAGTCATGACACACCAACCGATGCTAATCTAGTACAAACATCCTTCATCTCACGACGCCACGTCATGGACTGACCACCCCTCCGCCTTTTCCATCCCGTCCCAAGGCTGGCTAGCGAACAGAGACCTGTACGGAAGCTTCTGGGACGACATTTGCAGCACATGTCCAAGCCACCAGAGCCGGTGTTTCCAGATGATGACAACTGCTACCTTGGCGTGGTGGTCGGGCTTGAATACCGCAGTGACCCAACAAGCTAAACTGGCTGGGACTCATGTCACTGCAGGTCCTACCATGTCAGGAAGGTTGTTTGGATAGCGGTTAGACTAAAAGCAGTTACCAAGTGGTACATGGGCTCCAGAATCCAATGAGATCAAATGGCGTATGAACCCATATGGGTCATCGGCAACCATGGGAATGCAGCTCCTGACGCTGCTCCGCTGCCTTACGGATCAGACTCCAAGTCAAAGGCTCGGGGGATGGTCCCTTAAGAAAACCACCTGCTTCGGTCTGGGCGCCCGGGCAGTAATCTCAGCCCTCACAGAATGAATGAAATAAAACAACAAACTATCATTGAAAATCACCGTGCGCTCGTAAAAAAATGATTTCAAGTAATATGTAACCATAGAAGTCAACGTTATTCCAGGAGTTACGAGGAAATAATTTACCAGAACTACACATTTGTTTAAGGTTGGTGATTATAGTATTTTTTCACTCAAAATACTGTAAACTACTCTTGGCTGTGATGCCAAAGCACAGCGTAGTATACTATGTTACAGTTAATCAACGAAAATTCTCATGAATCCTTAATTTAATGTGACGTTTACCGATATCATTCGCGTGTATTTGAGAATCTCTTCTTTAACATACATATTATTATTTCCTTTAATTCCTAGAGGAACATAAGGCTTCAGCTGCACGTCTCCATTGCCTTCGGTTCTCTGCCAACGTTTTCACTCCGCTCCAAGTCTGCCCACATGCTTTCATCTCCTCTTCACATGACCTCCTCCAAGTCACCCTCACAGAGACGACCAACTCGCCGCTTCCCGTTCGGGTTCCACTCGACCAATGGCTTGTCTAGTGATGTCACTTGCTGGTCTCCTCAGAGTATGGTCAATCCATCTCCATTTCTTCCTGCCTATTTGTTTCGCAATAGGTTCCTGCTGAGTTGGTTCGCTCATTGCCAGAGATCCCTGTTGGTGATCTTTTCTGGCCAGCCATTTGATCTTGAGTATTGAGCGAAGACAACTGTTAATGGTCTGTAGTTTGTTTGAGGTGCTCTTTATGACGCACTGGCCAAGTCTCTGATCCGTATAGGAGCACTGACTTCACATTTCAGTTGAAAATCCGGATCTTATTTTTGATGCTGAGTGCTGTTGACCTCCACACAGACTTAAGAGTAATGAAAGCCTGTTCTGCTTTTCGGATTCTGGCTTTGATATCCTCGTCAGTTCCGTCCTCCTGTAGTTGAAACGATGCTTCCCAGGTAGGTAAAGGAGGCTGTTTCTTTCAGGTTCATCCCAAACATATATATAGATAGGATTAATCAAGTTGTGATGCCCATTTAACAATTTACTTAACGCCGACACCGTTTGTAAATGAATCGAAGTGTTCTAAGTGGTTCACGCAACAGTTAACATAATAGACACTGGGAAATATATTTTAAACAGTACAAGACTTCATGGAATTCTTATTAATACGTGCATGAAACTATATATTTTATTTATTATTTAACTTTTCTTTACATTGCTTTCTTACTATTTTTGTGTAGCACACCCCCCTTTGACGCCTATAATGTACCAAGTTAGTGCTTCAAATAATAACATAAGATTGAAATGATAGTTCAGCAGTCTTACTATCTTAACGAAGCACGTTTATCCATGCCTCAAAATAAAAAATAAATAAACTTTACAGTAGTGAATATCTAGAAAATTAGGCAAAGTTAAACTTCAAGCACCACTAACTGCCAATCAGCGAATGACCTCGAACGCACCAGTCAACCGAAGGAAACATTTTTGTGTGTGGAATACATATCTATACGAAGAAAAAAGTGCCTAAAAACTGTATAAAAGTATTGCATGTGTGGTAAAAGAGCTGTTTTAGATTGGAGTGTCAACAAGTATAATTCCATTTTGGGTAAATTTATTTTGATAAAGTTTCATAGTTTTATACAGTAATATTTATTGAGCAATAGATTGTGCTGAGAACGTGATCAGTAAATATCACTATGTAGCACTGTGAGACTTAATCAAAATAAATCTTATCCACAATGGAATTATACTGTGCCACAGTGCACAAGTTCTATTCTTATATCAACAGAGAAATTTAACTACATTCTGTGCATGTAATTATTTAGGTCTTCTAACTCTAAAAATAACCCTAATCTTTCTTGAACCTAATCCTAAAGTGAATATGTCCCTAACTAACTGTAATCTAATTCGAATCAACGCCAATGTCGCTTTTATTAGGTTAATCTAACCCTAACCTGTCATTGGCTTAAACCGTAACTCAATCTTTCCCAAGCATAACACTTGGATGAGTATATTTCATTGATGATGACAAAATTATTTGCCAGGTTTCACTAACTTGCTCAGTGAGCGTTTCAAGGACATTAGTGCAGTCGCGCTCCATTGATAGTCAGTTGTGCTTAAGGTTTAACTTGGCCGAAAATTGTGTGTTGTTACGACTAGCTGTATCGGTACTCTCTATATCAATATTCCATATAATACAAAAATACTGAATAAAACTCAGAAGACGCAACAGTTAATAAAAAGAAAACTTACCTAAACTGATCCACTCAACACACTTGACTTTCTCTTCTAACTCCATCGATAGGACAGCATCCTTGTTGTCTATGCTCCATATGTGTAGTGTACCATCATAGCCACCTGTCAGAATGCTTAGGTAGAAGATACAAATGAAAAAAAATGAAAATTAAGGTAATACGACAATATATATACATATAATCGACCTGTGATAAATAAGATATAGCTATTCTGAATAGTCATGTGTAATGCATAACAAAAGGTATCTCTGAAATGATCATACACTCGATTAAGTGTAGTGCAGGAAAACTGAAAAAAAAATTGGTACTTCGACGATGGATGAAACTTAAGCGTAGTGGATAACGTGACTAACCAAATAAGGTTAGATAAGACAATCCAGTAAGGAGAAAGTTATCCACTAAGCTAATGCAGACACAATGACTACTCCATACATGAGGCATTTGCTATTTATAAAGTCTCTTCACCTATAAAAGCAGTTGAACGAAAGCTCATGACGTTCCTAGTAATCAACACCAATATTTATATATCTGTTTGAACAAAAGCCATGAATTCACCGGGACTAGTTCATTCTGTGTAATAGCAATAAGGCAAGAATTACAAAATTCTACAGGGTCAACTAAAGTAGTTGTCTCGTTGTAATTCTGCTGGTTGAAGTCAATTTAATGTGGGCTAAACAGTTTAGTAGTAGAGTTACCTTTTCTAGGCTCTGCGTAACAAAAGTTCGGTGATTTATTGGCTTATATGCACAGCCAATGGGCTCCCCCGTTTGAATTCCACTTCCCCTACTTCATTCTGAGCAACTGGACAGTGTCAACAGCCTCATAGAATATCTCTGACTCAGCTTGGTATATAACAAATTTGTTGCGGGTTTCATCATAGAACTTTGCACCAATGCGTAACAGTTTAAATTAGCACACTTCAGGTAGCACACAAAGCAAGAGATTCAAAATAAAGACAGTAAACAGAGATATGAGACAAAAAGAATAGTAATGTCGAAGAACCATATAGTTTTATTTGATATTATAAGTCACAAGGAGTGGATGCATTTGCGCCATTGAGTACGACTTTGAGCCATATCACCAATTGTCTCCAGTTCTTTGATTTTTACCGTCCCCAGGACCCTAACCAGGAAGTCTACACCTTCCTATGTGGTTTAAACTAACTGTTGTGGGTTTTATTGACTGATGACATGTTTTGGTTAGACCACCACTGGCTCTTTTCCAGCCTGACCCTATGTCAGCTAACATTGCCCGTCGAGGCAGGCAATACCTATCCATGCGTAACACATATCCTAGCCATCTCAATCGATGTAACTTCAGATTCTCGTCTATTGGTTTCGCCTCCTCACCTAGCAATCGACGCCGAACCTCAATATTCCTCACCCCATTATACCACTTCACAAGGGAGATAGTACGCAGGCACATATGATCAAAGACAGTCAACCTTTTCATATCTTCCACGTTTCACAGCTAGCCGTAAAGGAGGACGGAGCGAACTGCTGAGCAGTACACAAGCCCTTTGGATGATAGGCAGCCGGATATCACGTCTACGCCAGAGGTGACGTTAACTGGCATATGCGAAACTAGCCCTCTGTATTGTGTTGAGATTTCGTCAGCGATCAACCTGTTGAGAGTGACTGATGCAAAAACCTCCCAAATAAGTGAAGTGGTCAACGCGCTCCACCACTTCACTCCTTATTTCTAGGCTAGGAGTCAATGTACTCTAGTCCTGTAGCATCATCTTACAACTGGTGGGAGCAAATCCCACGCCAAACATTCGCAGATTGCAGCTCAAGGTGTTCAGCAGACTGTTATGTACTGGTCGAGAATTTAATAGTCCTGACGCAAGAAAGACGGAAATCAGAAGACCACTAGGTTTGCGATGATACTTCTATTTTCCCAAACACAAGGAGAATCAATGTCACACAAGAGTGTGAGAGCAAAATATATGAATGTCCGAACAAGTGTGTGAGCGAATATTCAAAATGAACAATCCATAAATAGTCTCAACATGATTGGCTAATTATAATGGAATATCGATCCATATATACATAGCAAATATAACAGACTGTCAACAAACATACATATTATATGGATACATATCACAGACTTTGCATTTTATCAGCATCTTCACTTAGGACTACATCATCTGCATATTCTAAGTCAATGAGATTATTCCCCGATAACAAGTCAATCTCTGAGTCGCTGAAGTTAGTTACGGTTAATTCCATTAGTTTATCTATGATGAAATCGAATAGAGATGGGGATAGTGGGCATCCCTAACGGACACCACCAGTTGTCACCATTTCAGATGACAACTCGCCGTAAGCTCTCACCTGACTGGCTTCATGAGTTCGAGTAGAGCGCCTTCATCAGTGTAATGTATTTTTTAGGCATTCCCTTTACAGCGAAACAAAGCCATAGTACCTTTCGGTCGACAGAAACGAATGCCGCCTTCAGGTCAAGAAATATAAGGATTTTTGGACCCCGGTAAGTATGCCTGCGTTCTAGAATCTGTCGAAGGGTGGAGGTTTATTTTATTTTTGATTACAGCTTGATTCCACACTGTATTTTTGGTATAAGTATGGAACTTTCAGCATGGATATCGGTAGCCCAAATTTTGCAGGCCGACCATAGATATCAGGTGTGGGTCGGCAGGGGATCGAACCTCGGACCATGTGCATGGTCGGAGAAAGTCCTAGCACACCCTCTCCCTGGTCTAAAGCCTGCCTGGTTCTCTCGTGTTTGTTCCCCCCAAGCACCCCTTAGTCTAAGCATGACTATTCAGCCTAGAACTTTACATACCATATTAGTCAAGCTAATCCCCCTATGATTATCAAAGGAAGACTTATCTTCTTGTATATCAGGATAAACAATAACTTACACCAGCCCGATAGGACAATTTCTGATTCCCACACTCTGCCTGATAGCTTATTTAACTCAGTGCATTGTCTTCACCGTCCTTAAGCATTTCTGGAGTAGTTCCATCAGGTACCTCTGCTTTGCCTCGTTTCATACTAGTGACAGCTTTTGTTCAATGTTTATATCTCATTCAGGGAGGTGTTGGATGTTCGGTAAGTTGAGAATGGCTGTAGGCCAATTAAACTCCTCTTCACAGTGCTCTTTCCAGCATTCCAGTCATCTATCCTGGGAGCTAATTATGGTGCCATTTTTCTCAGAGATTATTTCACTTATTGTTTACGTATTACCACCTGTTTCCCTGACATGTCTAAGTAGTTGTCTGGTGTTACCAATCGCCGATGCCTTTTCCATTCTCTTTCGCTTTTGTCGCCCACCACTGTTCACGGTCGTTGCATCTGAGTAGCCTTCGCTCCTTATTATAATCGGAGCTCCCCGAATCAGTCTTCTTGCATCAATCAGTTAAGATGCGGTGGTAGAAATCCAATGGCTCTTACTAATTCTAGGTTTCAGGTCATTAACAGCTTTTACAGCTGTGTCTACAGGTAACTGTATGTTGTGCCAGTCTACCTCAGGAGAAGTCCTGCTGTTGATTTCAGATACTCGTTTCGCTAGTTCTTCCTTAAATAGGGACTCACAGTCTCTGCAGTAGGCACTGTGGTAGTATGTAATTCCATAAGAATTTGTTTATTAGATATATCACATAGTAAAAACAGTATTATTTATTGGAATGGCGTTACGAAAATAGTTTACTGTGTTTTCTTAATCTTCATCTACTTCCACACAACTTTTGAGAATTAGGATAAGTGAAACGAACCTATAATTCTGTTTGACCATTTGTAGTTTTCTTTCTCCCCTAGACCTTCTAAAAGACTCCAGAAGATCTGAATTTCCGGATGATTCATGCGTAATGTTACAAGAACTCGAAGACTTGTAAGTGAAAACCAAACAAAGTGACTGAAGAAGCAGTGAAGACAGGACTCCAAGAGAACATAGAGAAGATGGAGGTGATAAAGATACCCAACCAACAGCCACAATAACCAGGACTAATCACTATTACAGAATAAATTTGAAAAAGGTTACTTCCTACACTTATCTAGGAATCAACGTTTCAACTAAAGCCGCGATGGATGAAGATATCAAAGTCAGAATGGGAAAGGCAACGTACAGCCTCATCACGTTGAGACCAGTTCGGAAATCTGCACTCAGCATAAAGGACAAGATTTTTTTTCAACACAGGTGTTACGTCAGTTATCCGATGTGTCACAGACTTGGCATGGGCGTCACGAAAAGCTTCGGCTGACTCCATATTGAAAACAAAACAGCTAGAAGGAATTTGCTACAAGGACCTATTGCTTAAAAAATGTGTGGAAGAAAATGGAGATGGGCTGAGCAAATGCTAAGGAGACCGTCGAATGATCTTCTTCTTTCTTCTTTACTTCGGCTATCTCCTACGGGAGGATGAGCCGGCTTCATGAACGTCTCAAATCATCGCTGCCCAGGCGCGACAGATTCTAGAACATAGACACACTTTTCGGCGTCCAACAATTGTCATATTTCTTGACTTGAAGGCGGCCTTCGACTCCGTGGACCGAAAAGTACTATGGCAATGTCTGACTGTGAAGGGAGTGCCAAGAAAGTACATTGCACTAATCAAGGCACTCTATTCAAACTCACGTAGTCGTGTAAGGGCTTATGGGGAATTGTCATCTGAATTAGTAACAACCAGTGGTGTCCGACAGGGATGTCCACTTTCCCCATTTCTGTTTAACTTCATCATAGATATGCTAATGGAAGTATCCTTAACTGAACGTAGTGACTTAGGAATCGACTTGTTACCAGGGAATAATCTAATGGACTTAGAATATGCAGATGACATAGTCCTGTTAGGGGAGGATGCTGACAAAATGCAGAGTCTTCTGAACACCTTGAGCAGCAATCTTCGTATGTTTGGCATGCGATTCGCCCCTGCAAAATGTAAGATGCTGCTACAGGACTGGACGACGTCAACCCCTAACTTAGTGATAGGGAGTGAAGTGATAGAACATGTTGACCACTTCACCTACTTGGGAAGTTGTATTAGCACCAACGGACTGATTGGCGATGAAATCTCAGCACGGATCCGAAAAGCTCGAGCTGCTTTCGCTGACTTACACCATCTCTGGCGTAGGCGTGACATCCGGTTATCAACCAAGGGACGTGTGTACTGCTCATCAGTTCGCTCCGTCCTTCTCTATGGCTCTGAAACATGGCCAATACGCGTTGAAGACATGAAAAGGTTGACTGCTTTCGATCATAGATGTCTGCGATCTCTGTCTCACGTTAGGTGGTTTCACAAGATAAGTAATGTTGACGTTAGGCGTAGAGTGTTGGGCAAAGAGGGAAAATCAATCGACGAGGTTATAAAGTTACATAGACTAAGATGGCTAGGTCACGTGGTGCGCATGCCTAACCACCGCCTCCCCCGACGGGCATTGTTAGCTGATATAGGTTCAGGTTGGAAAAGAGCCAGTGGTGGCCAAACAAAAACATGGCATCAATCCATGAAATCCTTGACAGTTAAACTGAGTCAGGTAGGGAGATGCAGACTCCCGGGTTGGGGCCCTCGGGACTCTAGGAATCAATGGCTGGAGACAATAGGTGACATGGCTCAAAATCGTTGTCAATGGCGCAGATGTATTCAATCTCTGTAATCTTTCATATTCCTTTCTACCATTACCCATTCTGTTTCACTCTTATACTTGTCAAACTCTATTGATTCTCTTCACTCATCTTCTTGTCTACCTCTGTGTGCTATTTGGAACGTGGCAACTCGAACTGCTGCACTTCGGTGCCAAGTTCTATGTTGAATCCAGACAGACAGACAGGCGCGGCAATTTGTAAGAGAGTTGATGAAGTTTCATGGGAATTTGGTACGAGTGATGTCCCCAGCATCGCTCGGCCTTTTGTTTGAGAGTGCAGCTCTAGCCTTTACACAGCCAAGTGTGACCTACAAGGCAGTAGGAGTGGAGTAAGGAGTCCACTATCCATTGGCAGCAGGTGACCGGAGTTCGGTTCATACGCCTTTTTGAATGGGGCCAGACATCCAGGACATCCAACAAGCCCTTTGTCCATACGTCTGCCGGTGAGCTCCAGTGAGCTTCATACGCCAGTCGTTGGAGGTTTGGAATCAGGGTTTAGCCATCTCCCCTAGACTGTCATCCAATGGACAGTCAACCCGGTGGAGAGCGCCGGGCATCCGCTTTTGCCCTCTCACTTTGGTGAGAAACACCTCCGCCACGTGAAGGCAGTGAGTAGGACTTCCTCAGGAGAGGCTATGTAAGACGCCCGGTCATATGAGAGCATTTCAAGAGGTGTGCGGAGGGGTGGCCAACCCGCAGCGCAAGGCACCCACCCCCGACCATCCTGAGGCTTTGGAATGATATAGCATGCCAAGCCCTCGAGAGGAGCCAGAGTAAAAAACGACGAGTGGGGCGTCTGTGGAGAAGATAAGAGACTATGGGTAGTTGTGGGACTAGCTAAAGAAGACCGCGGAGAATAGGACAAAGTGCTGTTTAAGCCCTTTGTTACACTCGGAAACGATATTAGTAGTGTTTTCCAGGATCTGGATTTTCAAATATCCTCACAATAATGTTAGACTATGACTGCATATAAAATAATAGCTTATCATTATTACGGTGTAGGACACTGCTAACATTCACACAATACTTAAACTAGGACTGTTCTGGCTCTTCACATATGATTAGATAACTCTACAAGTACGAACCGTTTTCCAGTCAAAGCAAATGCTAATATTTACAACAACAACAAAATGAATGATGGTTTCACAGGCTAAATACAGAAACAAGCGGTTAGAGTAATGTGCAGCTTCCAATACTTTTGGGAATCTTTTGCATAAAAAATTCTGTACTGTTGTGAATAAAACAACATTAATTACTACCTTTAAATTTCAGCCCTTAATCTATTGTACATTGCAATGGAAACGAGTTTTATCAATAGAAATGTGAAGAGATACCCATCTTAAGATAACACTTTGTTTATTGCTTGAGGTCGGTGAAATAAGGATATCAAGTAAATTTTCAAATAATCCAAATGAATACATGGGGTCAGTCAGATAATGAATATTCATAAAATGGCATGAGACTTATTTAGGGCTATGTTGTTTTTAGAAGTATGTACAAAATGAATATATGGTTGACGAAGCTTATTAAATATAGACATCTATTTTGGAATGACATTCTAAGCATACTCAAATAAAAAGTATTTAAAAAACACTTACTATTTATGACGCCGTTTTACACAGCTAATCAGATCATCCTGAACGTATTCCTTTTCATATTTTGGTGGCCCTTGTTTAGGACAAAATTCGATGTCAATAGTTTCCTAAAGTGATTAGAGACTGATGACGGAACTTACAGATAAAGCTTGTTTTTCAGATAGGTAGTCATGTAAAGTTGTAGTGAGGACTTCATTATTCACCAGGAATGTGAACTCCGGGTAGGTAGTTGTCTCTCCACTTTCTGAACAACTGACTTAGACAAGAAATACTATTACCATCCAGTAGAACTTTCACCAATTTATTGAGTTCAGCAACATTCGTTTCTCTTGGAACTGAAACAGGTGCAGATGACACCGAATATCTTACAATAATTTACATGGAAGGTTATACTCACTGTTTTGATTTCGTGTATAAAGAAATTTGGACGTTTTGATCCATTTGCACGCTCAACAGTAACACACCCTCTGAAAACTTCGCTATGTGTTCCAATGTCCAATATCGTGTTAACGAGCCTGTATAAACATGAGGTGGAATAGCGATTAGTGGTGCTTGGTGCGTTCCTTTAGTCTGTTTAACCACTCACCTGATGCTGCTTTGTCAGAACAAGAGTGCAGTTTTGTATGAAAAGTTGATTTTCTTTCATTTGCAGTGTGTCTCATCTGTGCACTTATCCAATATCCACTATAGTTTTTACGAGCTAGCATAAACCAATTTGATTTCTTTGTGCTCGCCTCTTGGTTATGAGGTATAGGTTCCTGATCTTCGGTAAACTTCTGTGTGGCTCGTCCCGTCACTCGACTGTCGTAGCTTTGGTTGACTCCAAAGGGAGTAGTGCAGGGATTAATTATATGTGGTTTGTAGTATGAGGTGTGTTAAGACTGTTACTACTACTGTGAATGGAGTTGATCCTTTCACCAGTTAGTCCTTCGGTATCATCGACAAGAGAAAAGGGTCAGCTGTCTTTATTTGTTTAAAAGTAGGATGGCAGCAATAATAGAATATTAATGACAGATGTACGATAATAAAAACGAATTATGTGCAAAAGTTAAACTGACGAATGACTTCAGCACGAAAAAGACTGATGGGTTTAGAGATGTTGGAGATAGCGCTTTTCTGACGCCCATTATAAACCATTATATGTTAGAATTGCATTTTGGTTTGATTCTGTGGGTAGTCGACTGGATAATATTCATTTGTTGTTGGATGATTATCGAGACTTCATTTCGAGCCTTCCACCGACAGTGCATCAGAAGTGACCGGTGGTTCACTGTTTCAGAGTTAAAATAACTTGAGGAAGAGAGAAATATGAGCTCACTTAGATTTTACTCTCTGGTTAGCGATCTCTTCTGCTTTACAGTTAGTGGGGTCACAATGAATTGGTGACAATATCCTGGTTTTCGGTAACGGTAATCATTTGATATTTCACGATAGGCAATTAGACGGCTCCCGTAGTTGTACCCTGTTTTTCTGTTAGAATGATAACTAAGTCGGAGCTTTCAGGTCCTCACTTAGTTCACCTGACACATTGCGAGGCTCCAAGATACTCCAGTGATCTAAATCCATATTCCTAATACTTCCATTTCTGCTTGCATTCACCCTGAATCTTCTTAATATTTTGTCTCTCTTCAGATCTGTACATTGTCACTGCAAAAAAGGGCCAGTCGGATTGGTCAGGTCACTGGTGAATACTGATAATATTATTAGGCCCCAAATAGAAGACTGTTATATTCCAGACACCGAGCTACGTCGAGATGTTTGGATACGACAAAGTTTTCTTCCATCAGTGTAGTCCTCAGACCACTCAGTTAGCAGACCGTCAATACATATCTTGGCTATTTTGAAAAATGTCATGTTGAACACAGCCAAACAGCTGATTTTCTTTTCTTTATCACTAAAATAGTGAGTGATTCCCTTTACTATTCAGTGGTAATCTTGTTATCTGAAGGCATATTTGTTACAAGCAAATCGGTTTCCAGTAGCCTCCATAACCTATTTGGTACCACAAAATTTGGTCAGCACTCATATATAATACGATTGCATTAAAGAGTAAAACCGGTTTACGAAAGTCGTCATAACTGGAGGAATATGCAGGTTATTTTTTGTTTTTCGTGTTCTAGAAAATATACTGAGTACTTTTTACTAATAAGTTAAATTCGGTGGTATAACATTGTTTAAAGGTTACTTAAAAACTGACCAATAAACGAATAGAAATGAATCAACCATTACACATGTCTATGTTCTAAAGTAAAGGTAGATGTCTAAGCGACTTGAATAACGCACACATTTTGTGTTGAATAATTCTCGTCAACAGACACCAGCAACAAGTACATCAACATCTCCGAACGAAGTCTAAGTGTTTTCTGCACGTAGTATCGTTATTTTTAATATACTCATCCTATTCTGTTTGCTAAACGTGTTTATCAACACGCAGGACGATCACAAGCACGGAGTACAGTTTTCAGTATATATCAGAGTTGAGCTGAGCGTGTGGTTCTGGTATTATATAAGAGAGTGAGTGGCTATTCAGCTTCGCCACATATGCGACCACTACCTAACATGCCCCCATGATCCTACCACTAGCATATGAAAACTGTTATTAAGTAAACTTTCCAGCACAAAACACAATACTCAGGTGAAACAAAAGTCGATGGCATCCCGGCTGACTAAGTACTAATGGTCTCAATCACGCTCAAACTCCACAAGCCATTTTTCTATAAGAAGCCGAAGTCAAACTTTAAGCTCCAGAAAGTACCGATGGACAGATGACTCTGAAGAAACAAACCACATGATAAGGGCGACTTTTGCGCATAAAATCCATAAATTTGCGAAAATAATGGACTGAAAGGCGTAAAACCGATATGCGACATACCTTCTGCTGAAGTGGGACAAAAATGCCTCTCATTTTTGGATTGGAGTATTAGCACACTAGTTTAACCGGATTCTATGAATGTAATTATCGCCGTAAACCTAATGTGAAAGTAACCATAAACCAACATTAATGTCGCCCTCATTAGGTTAACCTCATCCAAACTGCCTGTAAATAACCAGGTCTAACTAAGCCTGACTTCAAACTGTTTGTCAGTCACATGCCAAAAAATGGTTAGTGCCCAGCTATTGCTACGCCGGGCCTCTCACTGTCCCTCGAAGCCTTTCAGAAACGCTTAGTACAAACGGACGCAAAAACCAAACCACCGATCGGCGACTCGAGAATTCTTTATTCTAACACCAACATATGAGCAGCATAATAACTAAGGTCTATGAACAAATATTAAAATAATAAATCACAACATTACCTCTGACTGTTTTTTACGTGCTCTCTGAACAGCGACCTATGAGACGATGACTGGTGTATTGATGCCTCCGCGAAAATATAGGGAAGTTGGGTTTGAGCAAACAACCACGAATTGATCGTTCAATCTTCAACTACACTGACAATCCCCAACAAAAAAGGATCCATCCCTTTTTTCCATCACGACCAATACACGTTGACTTGGATGCCATTGCGAGAACCTGGGTCACACGGACAGAGCTGAAGTGGGAAACAAACAGAAAAGCCAACACACCACATGCATACCCACAGCACAATCTCACACATCTATGACGACCTACACCTTCCAGTGAAAGGCATCCTCCTGACATCTTGCAACACAACGCCACTTGCTAGAATGACTCTTGAAGAACGCAACGTGACCGTAGCAGCACCTCGTGATACTCCACGCACATCCTCTTATCTACTCACTACAAATTACCACTCCAATCGCTTGTCACTCATTCTGCCTCAGTTCTAGTAACGGTGACGTATGCAAGCCTCAGTCGTCTACACTCTCACTCCCCGGCGTGTGGGACCACAACTAACAATTATCTCCGTGTGCATTTCATTCTCAGCAATAGCCTCTTCGGCGTATACGACCCATCTGCTATCTCTAACATCAATCAATTCATTCACGAACGTAGAAGACTCGAAACAACTTCGGAAGTAATCACGACCAAAAATTTGACAAAATGATTCAATAGCAACAAGATACGAAAACAACAAGTAAACGCAGTGAATCCAAAAACACCAATTGATAGGACACACCACACAATATATATATATATATATAAACAGTACAAATAACCTCGCGGGTCATGTATTGGTGGAATTACTTTGAAGGATTGCAGGACTTACACCAGTACGCCTGTAACCCTTCACAGGCTGACGATTGTAAGTTGTGGAATGTCCGGGAACAAACAAGATTAATCAATAATTACAATAATTGGAAACCACACAATTATTTAACACAAACCTATGTACAATCAACACATCAAATGTTTTGGATTCTGGCATGACAGACTACCCTTGAAGAACTGTAGGACTTACAGCAGTACGCCTACATTCCTTCTCAGGTTGATGATCCAAGTGGAAGTCGTCCGGACACGACCAAAGTTACCAACAGCTAGATGAAAGATGATACCAATTCAGTATATACAATATGAACATATGTACAAAATCACACACCAAGCACATTGGACTGCTTATTGATGCGCTACCCTTTGAAGAATTGTAGGACTTACAGCAGTACGCCAACAACCCCTCTCAGGTTGACACTCTAGGTTGGAAAATCGTTGCAGAGTTCATCGGCTGACTTCCCTCTATCAGCTATATCCTCAAATCTGAGAGGTAACACGCTCATGTCATTGTATCGTAGAATATAGATGACGAACAAACACACGACATATCTGGTCAACCAAGCGTAGAAACAGAGTAATTTACACCAAAGATAATAACATTCAATTAGTAACCTGAAACTAGAAGTGCCTTTATTCATGCAAGTCAATTTAACAATTACTCTCTCGTTTACACTTGGCTTATCCCCACTAAACTGAGCAATATCTTTCGTCTTTTCAAACGGACTGATACTGGCATAGTCATAGTACACGACACTTGAGTTGATGGGCGTCTTTTTCATTGTGGAAGACAACACCAACGGCGAATGATTGATACCAGTTGATGAACTTAGCGGTGGATCAGAAGCTGTTCTTGTTCGGCTTTTAGAAGGTTGTCTAACTGCAAGACCACCACCACTGCTGTCTTTTACTATCAGCTCCGGTTTAGCACTAGCATCTGATGATAGGTGGGCTACACGCTGATCACTTGAACCGACGGTCTCACAAGTATCCATACCTTCTGCAACTGCATCTGCATTTAATTCTACTTCACGTTCAAGTTGTACAGAACCTTTGTTCAACTTAGTAGTAGTAGGCATATCCCTCATCTCATCATGATCAACCAAAGACAAGTGTGAAGTATCATGATCATTATCACGAATATTCACTTTACCGCCAATTTCATCATTTTCAAACTCTTTAATAACAGAAGTAGACAATCTTGGTTCCTCCTCACAAATCCTTAGAGGTTTTATACCTTCACTCTGACTAGTAATACCTTGTAAACTGGCGGAGTCAGAACTGTCCTCTGAGACTGTAACTCTCTTCTGTGACACTCTATTCAACAATGGCTTACCAGTTGCAACTACGGACTTCTTGACCACACCGT